CTGGGAGGCCTCGCGGCTCCGCTGATCCTGGTGCTGGGAGGCATATTACCCTTTTACTATATAGGGCAGAGGCCTGGTGCACGGGTTGGTGCCGGCTGGTTTTCCCTGAAGGGTGTCCTGGATCAGGGTGGGAGTCCCCACTGGTGTGCCTGGCCAGCTTGGGTGAGGGGATGATGGCTGTTTGCAGCTGGTCACACATCCTTCAGGGTGGGGGTCCCCACTGGGGTGCCTGGCCAGCCTGGGTGAGGGGATGATGGCTGTTTGCAGCTAGTCACACACCCTTCAGGGTGGGGGTCCCCACTGGGGTGCCTGGCCAGTCTGGGTGAGGGGCTGAGGGCTGTTTTCAGGCTGGGGGTGACTGAAGCTCCCAACCGTTCCTTTTTTTCTTTTTTCTTTTTTTATTCTGGGTCAGCTTTAGCTTTGCGGCTTGGCTCCAGCTCTTAGGCCTCCGCTGCTGAAAGTAGGTTTCTGGCCTTTGCTTACAATGTTGCGATCCTGCTGGCTGAAGCCCGGCGGACTAAAGCAGGTTTCTGGGGTTTTGTTTAGCTTCTATATTTGTTACATAGTTGCTTAGAGTTGCAGGTCAGAGGCCTGCAGCGGCAGGCGGGGAACATTGGAGTCCTCCGTCACTGAAGCAAGCAAGCCTCATGTTAGTTTCAAGCTGCCTGGCTGCCGACCACCATCTTGGCTGGCAGTTAATTTGCATATTGCCCTGATTAGCCAATGGGAAGGGTAGTGGTCGTACACCAATTACCATGTTTCTCTTTTATTAGCTAGGATACCAAACCACATTTTTAATTTATTATATTATTTAAAGATATTAAAATATAAGCTTTATTGAATCATAGCATAAAATTTTGACACTAACAGTTATTTTAGCATTTTGTTTTTGATTAACTGGAAGAGAAATGTGTAAAATCGGTAAACCTTACATGAGGGTTATTTAGAGAGTACATATTCTTTTTTTCTTTTATTTTTTCAGTTGTTAAAGTAATTTGGATTTAAATTTACTGTATGTTTACATGAGTGCCTGTTTTCTAAAGACAGTACCTAAAAACTGAAAAGATGAAAAAGCATCTAACTACCTTCAGAGAAGCATTGTGGAGGGTGCTAAGCATTTAGACCCTATTGTATTTTCATAATAAATAAGAAAATAATATAGATTAAAATCAGTTTATAGAAAAAAAAAGAAATTAAACATACACGGACTGAAATTAAAAATAATATATAGTGATCCAACAGCAGACTAGAGAATCCCAAGAATCAAGTCAAAGATCTGAAATACGAAGAAGCAAAAAACACCCATCTGGAAAAGCAAAACGAAAAAAGAATCCAAAAATATGAAGATAGTGTAAGGAGCCTCTGGGACAACTTCAAACGTACCAGCATCCAAATTATCGGGGTGCCAGAAGAAGAGAGAGAGCAAGATACTGAAAACCTATTGGAAGAAATCATGACAGAAAACTTCCCCTACCTGATGAAAGAAATAGCCTTACAAGTCCAGGAAGCGCAGAGAACCCCAAACAAAAGGAATCCAAAGAGGACCACACCAAGACACATCATAATTAAAATGCCAAGGGCTAAGGACAAAGAGAGAATCTTAAAAGCAGCAAGAGAAAAACAGTTAATTACCTACAAGGGAGTACCCATACAACTGTCAGCTGATTTCTCAACAGAAACTTTGCAGGCCAGAAGAGAGTGGCAAGAAATATTCAAAGTGATGAATAGCAAGAACCTACAACCAAGATTACTCTACCCAGCAAAGCTATCATGTAGAATTGAAGGTCAGATAAAGAGCTTCACAGACAAGAAAAAGCTAAAGGAGTTCATCACCACCAAAGCAGGATTATATGAAATGCTAAAGGATATTCTTTAAGGGATAAATACCACATGATCTCACTCATTTGTGGAATATAATGAACAACATAAACTGAAGAACAAGGACTGTCCAGAGACGGCGAGGCATTGATTGGACTGTCGGGCCTTGGAGGGAAGGTAGGGGAGGGTTGGGGTAAGGGGGAGAGATCAACCAAAGGACCTATATGCAAGCATATAGGCCTAACGGATGGACATGGACAACGGGGAGCAGGGGGAGCCTGAGGGCATGAGTGGTGGGGGTAGGGGATAATGTGGGGATAAGGACATATCTTAATCAATAAAAAATATATTAAAAAAAGAAAGATAATAGAAACATAGAAAGGAAAAGGGCTAAAAATCTAAGGATCTAAGGTTTTGGATTAGAATTGGAGGTGTTGAATTGGTGTTAGTATGAATTTTTGGTATGTATATACACCATACAAAGAGGAGGGATATTAGTCATAGATGTAGATATGTGCGCATATGCACATACATATGTAGATTTTTAAGCTCAGAGTCTACTGAGGGGACCTAAAAGCAGTGCACCCAACTAATAATGCACCCTTGAGAACCCATGTCTGGATTCCTATACACTGTTCTTCACTGGAGGAATCAGAGCCCTTTGGAGAAAAGATTGATTCCAGAACTAGGCCAGAAAAAGTATGAGATTAACCTGGAACATCTTTTGCCAGTAAGGAAATGCTGAAAATATGATGAGCATTTATGAATATTAAAGTGATGGCTCGATTAGAACACATTGAATATAATAGGAATCAATAAGTCTATACTAAATAAATAAGAAAAGGAAAGCTCTTCCTTACAGTTGGGATACCAATTTATAAGCCTAGAAAGAATGTATTTGGCAACTATCATAGTGCTAAGGAGTTGTCAGTGGATGCTAACCTGGTGCGTTGATAAATGATTAATGAGGAGTAGAATATTGACAATCTTGGAATAGCTCTAATACTAAAAGTAATCAGTTACAAAGAGGAAACATAATGATCTTATAGTGTAGAATCATGGCAGAGACCAACACAATCAGGTGATAAAAGTCAACAGTATGGGTCAGTGGTTGGGCGTCGACCTATGAGCCAGGAGATCATGGTTTGTTTCCAGGTCAGGACGTAAGCCCCCGGTGCAGGCTTGATGCCCAGTGGGGTCGTGCAGGAGGCAGCCGATCAGTGATTTTCTCTCATCACTGATGTTTCTGTCTCTCCCTCTGCCTCTCTGAAATCAATTAAAATGTATATTTTTTAAAAGTCAGTACCACTATTAGTGGGATCAGTCAACATCATGTGCTCTCTAAAGTAATCACTAAGAAGAGCATCACCCCATTTCTGTGATGCTCCTGGTAAAAACAACATTACCTTAGTCAGGAGGTCAGGAAGAGACATCAGATCCTCCTGTAGAATTTTAATAGTCATCCTCTTTAAAACTGGTGAGGACATGATAGGGAAAGGCTAAGGAATTACTACTGCTTAGAAGCGCAGGAAGAAATATGACAACTAAATGCAACATGTGTTCATTGAGGTCCTGGTCCCAGAAAGAAAAAAGAAACATTTTTTAGACAAATGGCAAAATTTGCATGAGGTCTGTGGCTTGGACAGTAGTAATGTATCTGTGGATTTCCTGTCTTGAGAAGTTGTGCTGTGGTGATATAGGAGAATATCCATGTTTAGAAATTATATTCTGCAGTACTTTGGTGTGATGGAGACAATATTTGTGACTTGCTCCCACTTGGTTCTGAAAAGACTTAGGATAAAAGCATAGAGAAAGAAGGAGAAAGGGCGATGGGGCAAATGTGGTGAAATGTCAACAATTGAGCAATTTGTGTCAGGGTGTGTGGAAATCTTTATACCAATTGTGCAATTTTTCTGTAAGTTTGAACTTTAAAAACAATTACACATATTTTAAAGCAAATAGAAGGAAAACTTACCCCAGACTGTGTTTGTAGGAAAGAATTTTGTTAGGAAGTGATCCCGAATCTGGGATCGAAAATATGTCAGCAATAGGCACGTTAGGGTCTGTGAGCACCTTGAGAGGAGAGAGTCTAGTTTTAGTTCTTATTTTATTTTTTATGATTGACAATTAGACATTATTGTTGATTGAATGCATGAATTGAAAAAAATGGAAAGAAATTTGGTATGGCTAGAAATTAGAATGTCAGTGTGGCAATGGCAAGAAATTAGGCTGGAAAGGTTAAGCAGGAATTCAATAAATATATATTGAGTGTGCTTGTAAACAAAAAAAATTCAAGTAATTATAAAATGGCTTGAGAAATGACAGCTCTCTACTGTATCCTAAGTAATTGTTAAGTAAAGAGTTCTGATCTACATATATAAATTCTTTAATATTAAATTCTTTTGAAATAACTTGAAATTATAAGTAATTGGATAAGATTTATCCTGCTTAAAGTTAAATGAATGAATCTTTGTAAAATCTTGCCAATTGTCAGGATTATGTATATATATGTATACGTATATACTTCATAAGATCAATGGGTTTAAATCGCTTACAGCTTTGTTCAGCTCTAACAGCTGCTCAGACAACTATGGAAACTTGCAGTTCAGTATGTATCCTGCTTTGCACCTGCATAAATAAGCTCTGTCTGTTAACCTCCATCTTCTTCCGTTCTAGTTGTCCTTTTTGATGCAGCCAAATTGTGTGAACTTAATTGGAATATTATTTTTATTAATAGTTTCTTAGGGAAAATGTGACTCCAAAAAAATATTCATTAGCCCCTTGGCATTTTAGTCCTGCTGCTCTTGCAATCCCAAATGAGTAAAAGAATCTGTAGAAACAGAGCTTATATTTAAGAAGCAAAATTACTTATCTCAGTACCCTTAGTAAATTAATTTGGAGCAAAGGCATTATACTTCTTTGAAAAATGTGGGACAACTTTTTGCCTAGATATTTGTTCCCCCAAAATGCTTATTTTGCTTGCCAGGATATTTTAGAACTAAGAACTTATATTAGGTTTTTAGACCTATAAAGTTTATAAATGAATGTGAAATATAACAAATCTTGTGAAATAATCAAATGCATTATGTAATTATAGGAATTTTAAAAGAGACTTGTTAAAGCCCTTGTTTTATAAATATTTAAAATACTGCTTTTTATTTTGTTTTTACTAAAAATGCTAGGCACTTGGAGGTGTCCCAGGAAGTCAGCCATTACTTCCCAGTGGAATGGACCCAACTCGACAACAAGGTGACTGTTTAAAGTAAAAGTGAAATAGATGTGCAGAATCTCAAAGGAAATCTTTTATTCTTTTAAGGAATTTTTCATTTGAATAAATCTTCCATAATTATACCAGTTGCATTTTTGCAGATGGCATGGCCAAGTGATTTATATTTTTAGCTAAGTCTTAATTATGCATAATGATGAAGGCAGTGATAACATAAGAAACAGAATAATTAAGCACCACGCAGAGAGGAGACTCCTAGCCTCTGGTTTGGCACCCATGCTCATTTCCTAGCTAATGCCTCCCTACTTTTATTTTAGGACATCCAAATATGGGTGGGCCAATGCAGAGAATGACTCCTCCAAGAGGAATGGTGCCCTTAGGACCACAGGTAAATAATCAGAAAGTAAACGCTGAGTTTTTTGCCTTTATTTTATATAAACAAACTATGTTATTTCCTGGGTTTTGTTGTATGTCTTAAAGGCTTGATATAATACAGTTGTTAGGCTCTTGAGAATATAATATCTGTAACATCTAAATTGATGTAGCAGCAAACCATATTTACAGGTGCTGTCACATATGCATTCAGTACATTTAAGAAAATACATAATAGTAATTATTATAAAAAGATAACTATTGCCCTTTGTTAGTTATATTGAGGAAATATATTAAAATTTATAGAAAATTGTTATAAAAGATAGCAGCCATATAAATTAAGTGGTTAAAAATATTAAATAAAATAAACAATATAAAATATTTCTCTGTCTTTGGGAGGATGTCATTGACTATTTTATACTACCATATTTCTTTATAGAACATCGAAATAATAGAGAATCATTTAGAAATAACCATTGGAAATTTGTCTTGCTGAACAAGCATAGCGCTATCAGTAAACATCAGATGTTAGCCCATTTCTCTATCAAAATTTCCCAGAAGTATACACTGAGGTCAAATCTATCCTAGCTGTTGGTGACATTTCTTAAGTATGCTGTTCCAGGATATTATTTATTTTGGCTGAAATATCTTTTTTGTCTTCCTTGTAAAAACTGCATGGGGTAGAAATTAATTTTATAATGTTATATTTCAAAGAAACTAATCCAAATCCAGAATTTAAAATTTCTACCTCATGGGTCAGAGGTTAGCATGTCATAACACTGGTTAAAAGAATGCATTAATTTATTTTATTTGTCCTTTTCAAGAAAAACATTATTAGTGACAGTTTTCAGAATTGTTTCATGTATCTACTTTTAAAACTTAAGATTTTGTTGTGTGGCCAAAGGAGTCAGAGATTTAGAATCTAACACCCAGGAGTTTTTAACCAATATACAGTAATAAATGATTGAACTGTATTGAAACATGAAGTTCATATAACCTAATTTTTCAGAAATACCGTATTACATGGGGAAAAATACTATGAGATAGTGAGATACTCAGGAAAGAATAATTTCTTTCATTAAATTAAATATATGTGAGATATTCAGTCAGAAAAATAATTTCTTTCATTTAGGCTCGTCTTTATGTGCTTTCTTAAGATCTTATAAAAATCTGATTTCAATATTTAAAATTATTTTCCCTGTTCTTACTCATGTTAGCAATAATAATTTGTGACCATCATTAAGCTATTAATAGTAATTAGAATTCATAAAATCTATAGGATATTTCATTGATTGAATATACAGAAGTTTTTAATAAACTAAGTATTTAATGAACTAAACCAACCAATTTGGCTACACAGAATGTAAAGGCTTTTTTTCCAAAAGATTTCCATAAAAGCTATATTTTAAAGACACATCAAAACTGCATGCCTATAATTTAATCAGACTTAATTCAGTTCACTTACTTTTCAGATAGCTGCTCTTTATACTTTTGTCATTCCTAGACCAATATTTTTAATAGTTTGAAAACTAGAGTCTGACTTAAGAGTCTATTTTGCAGTGTTTGAAATAAAAAGCATACCGGTCTATGTTTTGGTTTAAAAATAACTGTATGGCCGAAACCAGTTTGGCTCAGTGGATAGAGCGTCGGCCTGCGGACTGAAAGGTCCCAGGTTCGATTCCGGTCAAGGGCATGTACCTGGGTTGCGGGCACATCCCCAGTAGGAGATGTGCAGGAGGCAGCTGATCGATGTTTCTCTCTCATCGACGTTTCCAACTCTCTATCTCTCTCCCTTCCTCTCTGTAAAAAATCAATAAAATATATTTAAAAATAAAATAAATAAAAATAACTGTATGTTTTGTTACAAGTAAAAAATTCAATGTAAGATAGCATATTTATGGTTAGTAATCTCTTATTAATGAGTTTTAATAAGTTTATGATATAAGTGTGAATCTTTCTTTGCATATTCAAACCCAAAGAAAGTAGTTTATTTCTTCCATTTGGATTGGTATCCTTGCTATCTAATTCTATATAATTTGAGGGAAATGAAGTGTTTTGTGTGAGTTTACCTAAGAAGCCAGAAATACCTACACTCATTTTGTAAAAAAAGTAAATTTCATTTACTTAAATGAAAACAGGAATCATATGAATGAATAATAGATAAAAAGCGAGGTAAAAATCATTTGGAATGGGGAATTCTTGTGAGGTATTTACTCATAACACCTGCTATATAAAATATAGGCATTATAAACTGTGAAATGTGTAGTAAAGGTTAGTTGTGTTTCTTGAAAGAAAATAGGAAAACAACTTTCATAACAGACATTTAATCATACAGATGCCACCTAAGAGTGGAATGCACCTGCTTTTTTTGTAGTTGAATTATAGAAGCATAATGTTGTTTCTGGCTTTATGCACAAACAAAATGTACATCTTGTTCTTATTATAGGTACTATTGCCATTATTTTTTGAGCTTTAGATTAGTGTGGTGAAGAGGGATAATAGTTACCTATTGGAATAATTTAATTACTAGAACAAAGAACTATATATTGTTTAGTGATTCTTATACACTGCTGATTTAGGTAAAGTACACCCCTAGGACAATAGTAAACATGTGATTAATATTTATTGCATGGATGGAGAAATAAAAGTTTGCTCTAAATCCTGGCATATTTTTCCCACCTATTAATCTATTTTAAATTAAAAGTTCAGTGGTAACACATGATTTTTTAAAATGATATCACTATCTTTTTAATAGAAAAGCAAAATTATCTATTTAATCAAGAAAAATCACTTTCCTAATACCAAAATTTGAAGTCATTTTTTACTTGCTTTTGTGCTAAGAAATACTTAGCTTGTCTGTGTTCTTATACTCAGCAGGTGCCATGTAATTAACAGAAAAATTCATCAAGAATACCCAACTATTTCTAGTTCTTCTAGAAATCTAAAGGCTAACTGATTTACATACAAATGAAAATATACTATGATTTCCAACTCAGATATTGGAGGTGGAAAAATGGTGAGATGGAAATACGTGATGGGCTGTCATGTAAAGAGAGAGTAAACGGATTTCTGTATTTTCAAATATAAGATGGGAGGTAGAATTTAGTTCAGGATAAGGGAGAAATTTCTAGAAATTAAACTGCCCAATCATGGAAAATCTCTGTAAACTTTCCAAGCAGAGTCTGAAGAGCCATTTTGTCAGGAACATTGCATTGAGAGTGAGATTAACCAGATGGAATTGTATAGCTGCCATCAACTTTAAAATTCAGCGATTCTAAATTAGCTCTTTCTATTCTGCCTTTGTTGATACCACTTGGAAAGCTAGTTGTTATTCTTTCTTATATTCCTGTTTTCTTTTTGCTTCAAATTAATCACAAAATGTAAATATTTTATAAATCTATCAAATTATATGTTGAATAATTTCTTTCTTCCTGTGACACTTGAGCACTGGGTATACAAAGAGGAGTAAAAGGTGCTCGCTGTTTAGCAGGAGGAGCAGAAACATAAAGAAAAACTATTATGCAGCAGAAAAACAATGTAGAAAGGAAATATGCATACTCTATCAGGGAGTCATTACATAAAGAAGCTAAGTACTTCTGTTAGGCTTGAGAGCTCAAGGGAAGCTGATGAGAACTCATTTAAAGTTGGTCCCTTATTAATGGTGACAAAAAATAGCAGCTATAATTTTGGAGCACCAGGTATCATGCTTTTAATATACCAAGCACTATCATAGATGTTTATATGATCTCATTTTATCCTCCCACAAGCATACAAGGGAAAAGACATTATCACTCTATAGATAAGGAAATTAAGGTGTAACGGATCATTGGGAGGATCACTGGCCCAAGATCACACATGTAGAAAGAGGAGCAGAGGAAATGGGGCCGGGGGTGTCTTTCTGGGTCCAGAGCTATGAGGAAGACTGATGTTTTCCTTGATACTATAAAACACAGGTCGTCGCCCTAACCTGTTTGGCTCAGTGGATAGAGCGTCAGCCTGCGAACTGAAAGGTCCCAGGTTCGATTCCAGTTAAGGGCATGTACCTTGGTTGCAGGCACATCCCCAGTAGGGGGTGTGCAGGAGGCAGCTGATCGATGTTTCTCTCTCATCGATGTTTCTAACTCTCTCTCCCTCTCCCTTCCTCTCTGTAAAAAGTCAATAAAATATATTTTAAAAAAACAACAACAACAACAAAAAACAAACAAACAAACAAAAAAACACAGATCTTCTAAGACCAAAACTAAGGGGAAACTTTCCTTGTGTAGCATTTCTATTATACTTTACCATTCAGATTTTTTCCCAATGACATTCTTCTCCTTGCTAATACTATCACTGCCTCCACCATGCTTGATCCAGAGGTTAAGGAAATAGCTATCCTCAAAGTGTGGATAGAAACCATTCTACTGTCCCGTAGCCCACAAAATCAGGATGTTTAAGTAAGATTTCCTGAAAGTAAAAGAAATAAACAATGAGAATAGCATGTAAGTAAATAAATTACTTATAAACTGTGGCTTACTCTCTGGAGTTAACAAACTTTCTTCATTGAATATTTCTTTGTCATCTTAACACCTACTATACAAACGGCCACAGCACATGAGTTGACACGAATAAATTTATATTGCTTGTTTCTGAATCACAAGATACTCTGTAGGTTGCAGGATGTAGCTGGGATGAGGGGAAGAAGGTAAGAATTGTAGGAAATGAGGGCAGGAAATATGTGAATAACCCCACAGAGCCATGCTGAGGAGTTGAGTCTATATTTGATAGGCAGTGCGGTCATCATGGCTTTTAAATGACTTGTAGAAAACTAAGTTTTAGGACCAGAGTTTTAGAGGGCAGTATGGAGAATAGATTGGGAGAGGGAGAGGCTGAGTCAGAGAGACCAATTAAGACAGTAAAGTAGTCTCAGTAAATGACAAATGTTAGTGTTACAAGGAGAGCCCCACTTCAAGAGTTGTTTCACAGGTAGAATCAATAGATTGTGGTAACTCACGGGATACAGGAATTGAAAGAAAATGAAGAGATATCAAAGCTCGTGGAGATTCTTGGCCCAGACTGTTGTGTGGAGGTCATTCCACAGACTGAGGAAAGTAATGTAAAGGGCAGTCCTGAGAGAGAATATTCAGTGTACTGTCCGACGTGCTGAGCATGAAGTGGTAACCAGTGGAAACATTCATGTGAAGTTCAACATGAGTTACCCAGGCACTTCTGAGATCTATCATGACATAATAGAAAATATTTGGGATTCCTAATAGAAATAGTTATTGAACTAATAGGAGCAGATAAAATTGCTTATAAATATACATTTATTGAAATAATAAGAATGGTTATTCTTAATGGTAACTTCAGTCATTTGGCTCTTATGGAAATTAAAGTAAACTAATATATGCATGTTAAAACATTAAAATATTTTTATCATTTGAATGATAGAAACCTATTGAATCATAATTTATGCATACATATTCGGAGTTTATCTTAGTTTTCATATATTTTTGTACATTGGTATTAGTGCATTTCTGTGTTGGATATATTATTTTGTGAACAGAAGTTTGCATTCAACTTTCTTTTGTTGAGTTCACCTGGAGGTATTTTTTTCCAGACTTTATGTAAATGTTCAGGGTCTGACAATTTCAAACATGTTGACTAAGTATTTTCTTTAAAAACCTTTTGAAATTTGTGAAATGTTTTAAAGTTCACTGTTGTACAGATATGCAAATTAATAAAGATATGTTAAATATCATTGCAAGTATACCTTAATCATTTAACATGCTACAATGACCTTACATATTTACATAATTTTTAAAAGACACAAACCAAAGTAATTGTTAAAATAGAAGCAAAAGTACAAGAGTGGACCCTTCAGAGAATGAATTGCACAGGCCTTATCCAGTCAGGAGTTGTGTAGGGAAATCATTAACCTGATCTCCTTTCTTTCCCCCCTCCTCTTTGGTTTTGTTTTTTTGTTTTGTGGTAGTCTGACCCTTGGTTATCATTACAGAACTATGGAGGTGCAATGAGACCCCCACTGAATGCTTTAGGTGGCCCTGGGATGCCCGGAATGAACATGTAAGCAAAATGCTGTATTATCCTATTTTCCGTCTTCAAAAGCCACACTGATTTGTAAGACAGTTTGAGCTCTTCAGTTCTGGGAGGTGTAAAAGTGGAGTAAGCATGAGCTATAGTGTTTGCTTCATTTTTCAGAACATATTCTCTATGGTTTTCTTCCTTCCCTTGTACCTTTCATTTCTTTTCCATTTTCAGATGCCATAAATGCCAACTTTTAGCCTGTTTCTTTTTTCTTTTATATTTTATTTAATTATCATAGAAATGAAGTTTTTAAATAAATAAATACGTAGTCTCCATATCATCTACACAAAAGTATGAAGAGATCATACTTTTCTTAACTCTACAGAAGTGAACAATTGAATATTGGTAACTTCATTTTAATAGGTACCTAGTGAGTCCTAAGAGTAGCATTCCCAGCTCTTCTATATGTGCCTTTTGCTTTGTTGGGCCCACTCTCAACACAGAAAGAATTCTCTCTGGTAATATCTTCTATACTAAAGAACTTCCATAGTGTAGGGTGAATTTCCTTTTGAAAAATCAAGGTGCACTTAGATAAAGAGTAAACAGTTTGGTTTTTTTGTTGGTTGGTTTTTATGAAAAGGCCTTTTAAGCCCAAAGACAGTGGGTTGTTTCTATTAGCCAATATCATGCAATTTGTTAAGGAATTTTTAATTATCCAAGTTGCCCTCACAGTTCTATAAACTGTAAATTAGGATTCCTGTAAATTAGGATTCCTTCAAGATTGTTGTTAGTGACTTTGATTAGTTAACTAGAGGATCAATTCCATGATGTGGCTTAAAGAAAGCTTACAGAAATTATGAAGATGTTTAATATAGGGTTGTGGGTAGTCTCCTCTAGTCTGTTTCCATCATCCATGTTTTGGTCACTTACATATCAAATTAAACAACTCTGCCATCATTTAATGGCATTGAAGATATACTGTGATATACACATAGGGATTTTCATGTAAAGCATTTTTGCCTAAAATAGAAAATAGGTTAATAGGTGGGTATCAGCCAGACTGAAAAGTAACAGAACAAAGAGGAAAAGTAGGTCAAATTTTCCTATCACATATTTTCACTTTTAAAGTAAAAATGGATAGACATGAAGTTTAACTTTTCTTAAGTCCCTCAAAGGCCTAGCCTTTATTAATGGTTGCTGCAAGGAGTGAGTGATATTTTGTGCTGATATCAAAGCTGAAGATTTAGGTATGTATATAAAATTTACTACCTAAGATTCTAACTTTAAAATGTAATAGCTTTTAAGGAATATAATTTTGAATACTATATATACATGTAAGGAGTATACATTTTGAATACCATGATCAATCCATAATTATCATTAAATATTAAGAATGCATATAATATTTTATGACCCTTTGTTATAATTAAATACACACATAATTATGAGACCCAAATAGCTGTTAAATTGTCTAGTTCCTTTATTACACATACTTAAATAGATATATATGGGTACATTTAATTCCCTAGAGTATGAAGACTAAAAATATGGATGAAAATCCTATACAATAAAAACCTAATATGTAAATCGACCGAACGGCGGAACGACCAGTCGCTATGATGCGCACTGACCACCAGAGGGCAGATGCTCAACACAGGAGCTGCCTCCTGGTGGTCAGTGTGCTCCCACAGGGGGAGTGCCACTCAGCCAGAAGCCGGGCTCATGGCTGGCAAACACAGTGGAGGTGGTGGGAGCCTCTTCCACCTCCAAGGCAGCGCTAAGGACCCCTTGGGGGTTGTCCGCGTGCTGGCTTAGGTGGACATTTTCCAAGGGGTCCCAGACTGCGAGAGGGTTCAGGTCAGGCTGAAGGAAGCACCCCACCCACCAGTTCATGAATGTCATACACTGGGTCTCTAGTTTTAATATAATTATTTTTGTTTCTTTGAATTTGGGTTTCTCATTTAAATATACCCAGATACTTTAAAATATTTTTATTATATAATACGTTACTACTTATATAATTTCTGATGTTTAAAGAACCTTTAAGCCTTACAGACTTAGATTTCCATCATTTGTTACTATTGACTTTTATTCAGGGTCCTACATCATTTTCAATTTTCTGTAAATTGGTATTCCTTCAAGGATGATGAAATGTAAATATGTATGTGTTTACACTTGTATATATGTCCCTCTAACAGGGAAAGTTCTCATGTATGGAAGATCAAACCAGAGAGATTAATTTTTGTATTGATATTGGCCCCAACAAAGTGAATTTAAAGAAATATTAAAAGTGAATTTAAAGAGACATTTAAAAAAACATTATCTCCATTGTACTCAATAGGGTAAACTTTATTGAAATTTACTTCATAACTTATTATCTTTTAAACAAAATAAATCTTACTGTTTTGACAAATAAGTGTTTTGACAAATAAGTATTTCTGTTATTTCTTCATTTTACTTTTTTACATGTTGGGTATCTTAAAAATTAAAGGAAATGGCATTATAACAGCGTTAGCTTAAGCTACATTTTTAATAGTCTAAGATACTTGACTGTTGGGTCAGGAGGGACCTGCCAGAGAACCATTATCTGGATGAGTTTTCTTTAGCTTATCACTTTTTTTGCTTGCCATGAAAGTTTAATGACAATGAAAAATACCAAACCCTGGTCACTAAAGTAATTAAATACTGTATTTTAACTAGCCACTTGATCTCTTTATTGAAGAAAACACCATTTGAAACAGAATTTTAATAATTTTGTTGTTAAAAAAGTGGGTCACCTCCAAAAATTCGATTATTCTGATATAATTTTTACATTTCATACTCTAAACTCAGGATGAATTATTTGTAGTATCATTTAAAAATTAAATAATATATACTTTCATTGTTTCTATAACTAGTTATATCTGTAAAAGTAAAAACTTAATGTCAATTTCAGTAACTTAAGGTAGAATTTATAAACCAATGTAAATGTGTTCAAATGCATTATAGATTGTTGTTAAAGAAAACTATATATTTTAATTAACTACATTTTTACAAATTCCCAAAGAATTTAGGATTCAGCATTAAAGCATTTCTGATGCAATGTTGTACACCTTGGTATTTATAGAAACAAAGGATGTGGTATTTCAAAGACTCTAGTCTAGACCTTCTTGTTCTATTCATATCATACAGAATCATAAAGTGTATGTAATTGTTATCTGGTAATAAAATGACTGTGAATTACAAAACAAAAGAGGATTTTTCTACACGGTGATCATGGTTGCTTTGATTTTATCATATCCACATACCCTTACTAAGACATACAGACTTTTTAAATTCCATTTTTTCTCTTTATTTTGAAATGAAATTTTTATTTGAAATAATGCCTATGTTATAGATTGTAGATTATTTTCTTGATGATACTGATGGCCCTCAAAAGTACTGGGAATTACTGAGCTTAGTAGTTGTCCTAATAGAACTACTCACTACTGTAACCCCCACTTTATTTAGTGCTTTTATGAAACTTGAAATGTTTTTCAAATGCAATGGTAAAGTTGGGGAACTTCAGTTTATCCATATGAATACTTAACCAGTTATATTAAAATGTAATTTAATATGAAATACATAGTGTGCTGAGATTAGATTGGTATTTGTCAAGTGATTGAAATGTATGAAAAGTATTTTGTTACTTATAATAAATTTAATATTTAACATCTAATTTAATGTTATTTAACCATTTGTATGCCGTAAGTGTCTATAGATGCAAACGGCAGACCTTTTTTAATTAAATTCAAAATATCGTGGCAGTTAACTGGTTAATTGTGTTTTTTTATTCAATTAAGTAAAATGTTTAACATTTAATTTCGCATGTTAATATAACATTAAACAAATTGTAAAATAACAAATAAAATATTTTCCTTTACATATACATTACTCATACAGTTGTTATTTAAACATAATATATAACATAATTGTATACAATTTTTTTGCAATTATGTGGATATAGTATATTTTATGTTGTTTTCAGATAAATATTTCTCAATTTCTTTATTGTATTTTATTTAACATCAAACAAACCATATGAAAAGTAATTAAGGTAGAATTTACAAACCACAGAATAAGAATAAGGGGACTTTTTCTTAGTTAAAAATTCTCACTGCCATTAGAGGGAAAGGAGAATTTTCAGTGACCCTAACTACAGAGGACTGTCAGTAGTCTACGTTTTTTCAGGCAGTATTTGTTCAGGTATACTTAATACCAAAGCATGAAGACAAGGAACTTTGCTGACTTAATTAGGCATTAATTTTGTTTTTAAAATTTGATGTTCTTTTAGGCTGTAGAATATAAATCATTCTCCTTCACCCTAAAATTAAGTAATATATTGGCATACATTGGTATGGGTTACCTCCTATTTTTCCCAAGATTTACTCTGGCCACTGTGTTCCACTACAATTATTACAACAAGAAATGGTTCTCTTGTTTAATAGTAACTAAATTGTCATTATCACTGAAAGATAGGTTGATATATAAATGTATAATGTAATATGTGATAATCTGTGATTTTTTAAAAAGAGGGCAAATTTAGACACTTTTGTGTATACTTATTTGTTTGTAGCTTAAAAAGAGCAATCACTTTTATGTATTAGATATTTTACAAATAATTTTATTTTTATTTTTAATGAGATACAGGGGGTAGTTATATTGATGTTACAAGATTATATTTTATTGTACCTATTTCATAATTAATATTTTTTACTTCAATAGTGTGTTTTTTAATGATTTAAGTATATGTATATATTTACTGATATAGGTGATCACGACTTTTAGTAGTTATTACAATAACTGCACTTAATATTAAAGTGAAACTGGGCTTATTAAAAATAGTTTGATTTGGAAAGAAAATTGTGTTGTGAAATGATAAAATTGTTTCATAATTTACAATCCCTATAGCTTTTGTTGTTTTCAGGAAAAGTAAAAAATGTTCTTATCTTACACACTAGAAAAAAAAAAGAAAAAGCTGTGAAAATAAGTATAAAGAGAGCAGTTTCATTGTCGAACTAGAACTTCCTGGTGACTGTATTGTAAATGTAAATATTTTATGGTACTGTGAAACATTCAAAGCATAAGTTAAAAAATTTTATTTATCATATTATCTTGTAGGGGTCCAGGTGGTGGCAGACCTTGGCCAAACCCAACAAATGCCAATTCAGTGAGTATATGTATTTTTAAATTTTCTTTGCACTTTTTAGTATTTAACAACAAAAGTCTGTTGCTTTTGAAAGCCCTGTAGTTGGTTACATTTAATCTTATTAAAAGGTAATCATTCAAAACTATATATTTTGTGTATATTCTTTTAAATATTCATAATTGTAATTTTTTACTTAAGATCTAATGTAAACAAGCATTCTGTGTAGATTAACAGACCTTCAAAAATAAAGACAAACAGTGTGACTTAAGTATACCATTTAAGTAACCTATAAAATGATGTGATTTATGTAAAATGATTTATTATAAAACAATTTGATCTTCTAAAATAACTGTATAATCACTAAATTGTCAGATTAGATCAATCTCAATCAGGGTTTTTATGATTATATTTTCTGTACTAGTTACACCTAGGTTTGCTCCTTTGCTGCCCCAGGAAGTAAATGTGCATTTGCCTTGGGCCTGTGGGCTAAACTGCCATCCTTACACATCTATCTGGGATTTTCCTTACATGTTTTGTGGCAGTGGTTTGCACAAATAGTTTTCTCTCAATAAGGTCACATAAAGTACGCACAGGTTGAAAAGTAAATTTACAATCTTAAAATTAATATGATTTTTATTTAATGATCCTGCAGATATTTCTCCTTCTTGACTTTGAAATCTTGTGTTCATTATGTGAGCGAGGTCTGCTGTGTATGTATGTGTAGTGTGTGCACTTCACAGAGGTGCCTGAACCAAGGGAGTATTAGCAAAAGACTGAAATACAGCTTGTGAAGTCTATGGACATCTGCCCAGAGGGGATGCCTTTTCTAATATACACTGAGATGCCTTCACTGGCTAACAGTGGCAGCCTTACTGCCAAAGCAACATGAAACTGGTCAATGAATAAGGTTAATTTAAACTTCAAGAAAATTTGAAGTGAGGTGTGTGTTGGGTAGGAAGAATCATCCTAAATCCATTGCTATTCTAAAGCAAAAACCACTTTCTTCTCAAGTAACTGCCATATTTTTAGAGAGAAAAAATAACTTATATTACCAGCCTCTCTAAAAATCAATGAAAAAATATCCTTGGGTGAGAATTAACAAAAAATAAAAAAAATAAAAATAAAATCACATAATCATTTCTCTAATAAACTATACACTTTCACTTTTTTCTTCTTCCTTTCTTTCTTTCTTTCTTTCTTTCTTTCTTTCTTTCTTTCTTTCTTTCTTTCTTTCTTTCGTCTTTCATGCTGTTCTTTTTCTGGTGGTCACCCAACTCTCCATAAGTCTCAGCTGCCCAGCTCAAATATACCTTCTGTACCCACATAATACTTCTTCCTACATTGTTATATTTTATTTCTCTCATGCTAAGCTGTCAGATACTACTGGTAACTTTCAAGAGTGCAGATTCAGTAAAATGCTAGGGGTAGGAGCCCAAATGTTCCTTTTGTTTTAATGAGGGTATCAAAGAATATAAAGCAGGAATGGCAAGGATAAGCCAAAATCAAAGAGCTCAACAGGGCAAAAATGGAAATACATTGAACAACTAGATGAGATAAATATTTTAAGTATTTTCAAATGTTTACTATATTTAACTGTATTTGAAGAGCCATGAAGTGGGGAAAATTAAAAATATAAAAGGAGCAAGGACTTGGGAGAAATGGGATGGTCAGGAGAGGCTAGCTTTGGAAACAAACAGAAAGATATTTTTTTCTACCAGACATAAATGGATAAAAAATTAAATTTATAAATAATAAAGTATTGAGCAGAAGATGAAGGCATAGCAAGAATTTGATGCCTTTAATGTATGACAGAAGGTACCAACTCAGGATGGTATAATCATCATGACAGGCAGCTTACAAAAGTCAATTGTTAAATATTCAGGAATTTTGTGAGCTGATTATCAATCACTGGTAGCTTGAAATCTGCCATATGGGAATTTTTACACCACAGAAATTGACTACAACATGGGCCCTCACCCCCCCCCCCTCAACCCTCCATCCCCCACCCTCCAGGAGTTTGCAGGATTTACTGGCACACTACTGAAATGCTTCAGGGCTTCCATAAAGGCTTCCAAAATGCTTCCACATACTTGAAGACTAGATTGAAGCTGGATAACATGATTACATTTGGGACCTTGTCAAGTTTGTTTTGTTTCTTTCCAGGAAATCCCTACTATAAAACAGAAAAGGTAGTCAGATAGTGGAAATAAACAAAGTAGGCTTTGGGCTAATGAATTTAAGATATCGGGGAAGGAAATAAAATGCTGACAGGGGCATGGGGAGTGGCAGAGGCAATTTAGTAGGAAGCTAGTAGGGAAAAATGGACTTAGTAAACATGGAAGAATTGTGATCGGAGATTTTGATTGAAATATTATAAAGGAAGGCAATGAAATGTAAATGCCAAAGATTGGTGGTTAGAGTGTATTTTGAAATTTCTTAGGAATGATGGTAGGCAAAAGAGAGAGGCGAAGAACATGAGCCAGTTATAGGGAGATAAAAATTGGAGCCAATGGTTAAGTTGGTCATTTGAAGAGGGCAGATGCACAAGTTCAAAATAATACAAAGCAAAGGGTGGACAGTAGATCATGAACTCAAAGGGGCCCAAGAGAGCAAAGTTGTTTTCACTCACCAAGTTGAGTGAATATTTATTGCCCAGTACTCACTGTGGAAGTCGTACTCATCATCAGTGATGCGGGGCGCCCTGGCAATGGCCATCTGCAGTGCCGAGTTACCCATAGGCAGACCAACCAAGGGCCTCAGAGACACGTGGTTTTTACTTAAGGCAAATCAAGGACACCAGTCAATGAGGAGAGAATTTTCAAATAACAATATGAAATATTTCCCCAATCAAAGACCTATTCACCAATAGAAAACCATAGCTTTGTTGTACTGCCTTCTGCTTAAAATATAAAAAGAATATGGTCTCATATTCTTTCTATGTTTAATTATATGGAAGGTGTTGGGGTCGAAGGAGGGCTACAGGTACAGGCACTATATTCTGTTTGCTATGCTAAAGGTCCTGTTCTGGCCCTAGCTGGCTGACTGCAGGAAGATAAAAATTTATTGGCTTTATTCAGAAAAAGGCAAACATGCCTCTTCTGGGTGGGCAGAATCTTCATGTAAGTAAGCAAGTCAGCTTGTGTGAAGAAAGAAAATACTTGGATTTAACTTATTTTTATATGTTTTCCAGTTTTTATTTTTAAAATTATCATAGCAGTGTTATATTGACATCTTTTATTCTCTAGAAAAGCACTTGGTTCAGAGTTTAATTTGAAGAGAAAGAGGGAATTTGTTACCTATGTCTGGTCCTCACAAATTAGTAGTCTTTGGAGACTTATACTAACAAAATCTTTTGCATTTATTATAATATTTTCTAGTGTTAATTAGAAAGGAAAGGGGGAAAGATGAGGTCTATGTATTAGGTACTGCATGAATGTAGTACCCTGAAACCTGTCTTTAAGAAAAAAAACACTGTATCTCAGAATACACATAAATTAGAAGTTGCATCTGTAAAAGCTACTAATTTGAAGAACTCTGCTTTCTGGTTTTTAGCTGCACGAATATATATCTTTCTAATTACAAAATGTGTCATTAGTATCAAGCAGTGAGTACAACTGGCCTGAAACCAATATAACTTAAAGCTAGCTGGAATTCTGTCTAAACTCCTCCTGACTAAAGTCTACTCTTTTTTGTAAATTCAAGAAAATATTGCATTTATTGAGTTTTCTAGCACTCAGATAAAAATGCCTTTTCCATTACTATCCTTTGTGATACATTTTAAAACTTGATAGGCCAAGCCAGTGTTGCTCAGTGGTTGAGTGTCGATCTATGAACCAGGAGTTCACAGTTCGCTTCCTGGTTGGGGCACATGCCTGGGTTACAGATTCGTTCCCTAGTGTGGGTCCTGCAGGAGGCAGCTAACCGATGATTCTCTCTCATCATTGATATTTCTGTCTCTCTCTCTCCCTCTCCCTTCCTCTTTGAAATCAATAAAAAACTATTTAAATTTTTTTAAAAAAACAACTTGATGAAAGTTAGAAAATAGAGTCAGTCATTTTAGGTCCTTCTCGATACTGCTACAAAAAGCAAACTTTTCTTTTCTTTTGTCCTGTTTATGTTCCAGATCCCATACTCCTCAGCATCTCCTGGGAACTATGTAGTAAGTACATTTGGGTTTCTTTGCTCATAAGAATTGGTGTTACGTTTTATTTGGGCAATGAAATCGTTGTCCAGATGTTAAGAAGAGCCCCCTGTGTACTGGCCAAGATGTGAACATCTGATTTGTGTTGAGTTGTTTCGTCTGCCAACCTCAGTACATATGTTGATGTTCATTAGTGAAACAGTTATCAATCTGGCCAAGATTGCCCTGAGTACTGTGTCTTACTTTAGCATATGTTTCTGTAAACCTGTGCAATACACTCTGCCCAATCATGGAGAAAGCCTTCCCCAGTTACACAATGATATGCTTGAATTTGCAGTTCTTCAGGAGAATAATCTACACCCCTACTTCTTTAACTCTCCCAATCACAAAGATTACCAAATAGCAGAAAAATGACTGGTAATGAGGAGGGATATTTAAGTCATTTTTCCATTCTTAGAAATTTAAAATACTTTTCTTACTAACATTTAGTACTTATTAAAATGTTTTAAATAATTCATATATACCTCAAGTCAAATGAGCAGATTTTACATGAGCTCTTGAACTTGCAAATGACCTTTTAACCATCATTACAATAAATCCTTGATGCATCTCAAGGCCATTATGACACAGGGTGGGGAAAAAGTAGATTTACAGTTGTCCATATGGAAAATAATACATTAACTAATAAATAATCACACAAGAATCAACTCTGAGTTTCATATACTCACAACTGTAAACCTACTTTTGCCCCACCCTGTTTTTAAGGAGAAATGCCTAACAGGGAAGCAAGGATAAAACTGTAAAAAGGAAAATCTTTCCTGAAGAAATTTTCAGAAGTGGTGGCTAACGGGAGTAGGAAAAGGGAGGACTTTGCCCTCCATGGAATAGTGTGGTATGAATATAGTGAAAAGCTCATGCCGCACTGGACCTGCACGCATTGTTTCCTTAAGTTACACAAACTGAAGAAGTCTCATGTTTTTCACATTTTCTATGAAACAAAAATGAAAGTAAAAAGAAAAGGGATAAAACTGAATTATACTTTGCATAAGATTAAAATGACTATACGTTAAAAGAAAATAAAACCTATTTTTTCTTAAAATCACTTAAGAATAAGCCTGCTGTATATGAGGTATCCCAAAATATGTACACACACTTAATAGCTGATAGCTCAATTGATGTTTTTTTATTTATTTTCAGATTTCACCTATTGGAATTAATAATTATTCAAAGTGTGTATACATTTTGGGACACCGTGTAGTTTTATGAAATTAAAGACGTTTATTTAAATAGGAATTTAAATTGCTTATTAAATACCAACTACATATGTCATTTGAAATAATTAATAGACTCTGTCTGCACACTCAGGATGAAGTCAAACTTTAGCCACTTACTAGTTATTTTGACTACTGTACATCTGAAATTACTGAATAATTTTAGAGTGACCTAATCTCCGTTTCAGGTGGACTGTGTAGCTACAGCCTTAGTAACCCACAGCATTAGTCACCATTGCCTCTCATTTCTGATTGGTGTGATAGGTGAAGGTGCAATGCTCCAGAAGGTTTACTTGACACTGATAGAAGAAAGAAATAGAATCAGTGTATTTCTTAAACAGAAATATCTTTTGGTTGTTAATTTCCTATAAGAGCCATGGATACAAACCATAAGAAAAATACAATAACCTAAATCACAAATACACATGAATTACTCCTCTTTTATGGATTTGTAAAGACCTGATTAAATGGCTTCTCCTTAACCTCATTATATCTGGTGTGATTAAGTCATGAATAATAAGTCAGTTTACAGGCTCATTGTTTTGGGAAACTTGTCAAAACAATCTCAACATACTTAAACTGAATTATACTTTGCATAAGATTAAAATGACTATACGTTAAAAGAAAATAAATTATGGAGAAAATTAATTTTCTCTGTTATTTTCAAATTGCATCACTATTAAAATAAGTCTTACTTTTCTTATGTTTTTATTTATATTATTCAATTAAATGCCTTACTTTTACTGAAATTTTGTATAATTATATAGGGTCCTCCGGGAGGTGGAGGGCCACCGGGAACACCCATCATGCCTAGTCCAGCAGGTATTGTAATCAGACTAGCCACATTGGCATTTGATTATTAGAATAAAATAGAGAAATTGTTCTGAAAGTTAGTACTATTCATTGTCTCATTGATGGATAAGGAATAGAGTAGAGGTAGCAAATAGGAAGAAATCGTGTTCTTAAGCACCTATTGTTCAAATACTTTAAGCATTTAGAAAATTTCTGTTATGTAAGTAACATATAATCAGGGTGCAAATTGTATTGATCTGTATGAATTGTCCAATGATTATCTGTCTAAAAGATTCCTTGAGACTGTGGAAAAGATCAAAATCTCAAAACTTAGAAAAATTCTGCATAAGTTAACACATCAAATGCATGGATCCACTAGGTTTAATATAGCAAATCTGACCTACCAATCTATTATCTTACTAAGATAGATGTACATGTACCTACAATATTATTTATCCCGCATATCTGTAGGTATTTATTAATTAGCTAATAGATCTACCATGTAGTGTGGAAAATTTTTTTAATCTTCTAAACTAAAATATCTGAGTATTCCTGTAATCATTATTTAATAATGCTGGTGGGAATGCAGACTGATGCAGCCACTATGGAAAGCAGTATGGAGTTTCCTGAAAAAAAATTAAATGTGAAACTGCCATTTGACCCAGTGATCCCACTTCTAGGATTATATCCTAAGAAACCTGATACACCAATCAGAAAGAATATATGCACCCCTACGTTCATAGCAGTGCAATTTACAATAGCTAAGACATGGAAATAGCCCAAGTGCCCATCAGTAGATGGGTGGGTAAAAAAAGCTGTGGTACATTTACACAATGGAATAGTAGTCAGCAGTATATGAAAAAAGGATCTCTTACCTTTGAGACAGCATAGGGACCTGGAGAGTATCATGCTAAGCAAAATAAGTCGGTCAGAGAAAGACAAGTATCACATGATCTCACTCATATGTGAATCTAATGAACAAAATAAACTGAGGAGCAAATAGATCCAGAGACACAAGCATAGAACAGACTGACCAATCTCAGAGGGAAGGCAAGGTGTAAGAGTGGGTGGGGAGAGATTAACCATTAACTGGGGAATTTATATGCATATATGCATAGCCTATGGACACAGACAATAGTGCGGTGTCCAGATCATCTTCGATTATTACTTTGTGATGAGTTAGATATAGATTATAAAGAAAGATATTAATTAAGTAATATTTTGTTTCAGATTCAACCAACTCTGGAGACAACATGTATACTTTAATGAATGCAGTACCTCCTGGACCTAACAGGCCTAATGTAAGTATGAATTTTTAAAAAATTTTGTAATGTATTCAAACTCTTAGTGCATTCCATTTCTGGGATACTCTTTAAGGTTTATATTTTATAATCCAGGTGCTTATTGGATATCAAGAAAATAAAATTCTTACGTTCTGAGTTGAAAAAATGTAATATATAACATATATGAAATATTTCATATCAATATAATTTAAATTAAAACTAAACCTAATTAATTATAAAATGTTGGTGTATAGTCTTATTCTATCTCAAGTACTTAATAATTAATACTATTTGAAAATGACAGGTAATGTATAATTGTTACCTCATTTTAGCATCACTAATTTCTTCATTGTGATCGTTATTTTATTATTTTTTTTCTCTTGAGAAACTTGACAATAAATAAGGAAGTTGGATATACTTATTTTTCTCTAGATTTTGAAATCCAGAGTTTAAATATGGACCTGAGGCAGTTCTGCTGAAAGAATTTGGATGTTTTAGTAAAGCATATGATTGTGATTTTTTTTCCACAAAAACTTACAAGAAAATGATATTTTATTTATCTGTGATACAAGACCTACATGTAAACAAAAAGATATTTCTAACAGAATGTAGTTACTACACAGATATGTACATATAAATATAGGGTAGTTCAATTAAAGAAAAAGCAGGAGGCATAAAGGAATTTTCATAAGTACCGAAAACTGAGAATGAAATAATTATTATAATGGAGCTTCCTTGCAGTAAAGACAAAGGGAAACTGGGAAACTGGGAATCTGTCCAGTATGGATGGTACTTAAAAGTGGCTAATTTGAAAGGAGATGTGCTGGCAATATCACACTGAGGGCTTAGTATAAAAAAATAATGTAAAATATCTCATTAAAATTTGTATATCGACTATATGTTGAAGTGATAATAATTTTGATATAAAATATATTATTAAAATTAACCTCAACTATTTCCTTTTACTTGTTAAGTATGGCTGCTAGTAAATCTAAATTTACTTATGCAAGTTCACATTTGTGGCTTGCATAATTGTGTCTGATAAGCAATACTGCCTCCAGTTATCACTGTTCTCTTTATAGAATCAAGTAAATTGTTTTTAAGGAAAATAAACAATTAACTATCAATTATGTCTAAACGTGTTTTCACAGATATTTTAAAGAATAGTAAATATGATAACGAACAATGTTCATTTTAGAAATTCAGCAAAAAAAAAAAAGTTTTACACTGCAATTTCATATCTTAAAATTTGGTATTTGAAAGGGAGGGAGCAAAGGAGGAAATCCAGAGCATATGGTACTGAAGACATTTCTGGGGGCAGCTAAGCTGATATCATCCAAGTATGTTTCACTCTGGATCTCTAACTCCATCCAAAGATAAGAGATCCAAGAACAGTAGGTGAACATGTCACTTTTTCAAATGCCATTCATCTCAGCCAGCAGTAGTAAAAGAAAATTCCTGCTGAGGGCTAGGCCTGGAGTTTTTGTGCTTCAAGTGCATATACTTATAGTCTATGGGGTCCAGATAAAAAGACCAGAATAAGTTCATGGACTCTTGGCCTCACCAGCACCAGTTTCTAAGCCCAGAACTATGCTTTTGACAAAAGCTGAATAGCAATTGTAAGTTCAAAGTTAATTTCTTTGACTTACCAGTTAAGGCATACACATTCCAAGTTGTTTACTGAAAATCAATCCATGTGCTTTTAGGCAATAAAATTTTCGGAAACAGAATTGACATTATTTTGAGAAAATGTGTAAGCATGTGATCCGTATCATCGTAGATGACGGATCGCCATCTTATTCCCACACAGTTGATGGTACACAGGTTATCTGTTAGGGGGAATTGCTTTTCCCCCCAAAGCCCATGTGATTAGTAGCTACCACTACCCGATCTACACACATAAATACACATACACATGCACACATCGCATTCAATATTCTCTACCATACAACATGGAAGAAATGCTTTTGGCATGGGAAATTTTAAGAGCAAGTGTTTCCAGTAGGTTGTTTTAACTGCAAAAATAAGATAATATGGATAGCTTTGTCTTCAAACTGGGATCTGAGCTTCCTCAAAAGTATTTCAGGGAGATGAGGGAAAGATGGAGTGGACAGGCCATGAGCTCGCCACCACCAGCTCTGCCTCAGCACATCTGTTCACATCTGTGTTGTTTTTTTACCAGACTTCTAAAGTAAGATTTCACTTGAAAATAAAATAAGTTAATGCCACTGCTTTTTAACATGTTAATTATAACTGCTGCAGAATGATTGTCATTGAACTGACATAGTTGAGACTGCCAAGGAGAATTAGCTATATTCATCTGTCCCCAAGGAGCTGAACGAAAAGGGCGGGGCAAAAGTAGGTTTTCAGTTGTAAGTACACAAAATGCAGAGTTTATTCTTGTAGTGTGATTTATTAATTATTGTATTACTTTCTATACAAACAACTATAAACCTACTTTTGCCATGCCCTGTATTTAACCTATTAGATGAAATTACTTATGTCCATTTGAACAAAAAATAGATTGTCTGCTAAAAAAGTTAATGTTGGTATAATAATGTTGGGTCATTCTTATTAGTAAGGTATTAATCATCTTAGCAACTTCATCAAAATCACCTCTTGCTCACAATAGTACAATTTGTCAGTAGCATAGAAGAGAATGTTTATCCTTTGCACTGACTGTATAGATTCCCTGCTTGAGGACACCTAAAGAAGAAAAATGTGGTTCTGAACAAGGATTAGTCTGAAGATCCAAACAGAGAGAGAGAGTATGGGATGGGGGAGGTAGAACAGTCCAGTTAGAGACTATAAGGCTGGAAAAAAATCCAGGAAAGTAATCTCTATAACTTGAAAATAAAAATAAATTGTGGAATTATCTTAAAATGTTAAAGACAGATATTTTAACATTGATATAAACAATTGTTTTCAATGTTCTCATCATTCTTTTCTTCACTTTTTAAATAGTTTCCAATGGGCCCTGGTTCAGATGGACCCATGGGTGGATTAGGAGGAATGGAGTCACATCACATGAATGGCTCTTTAGGTAAGGATATTACAAATAAATTCAAAACAAAGCCTTAATTCTACATAGTGGGTATTATCGTTTGCAAAGTTCTTCTGTATACAGAAACTCATTTTGAAATGCTTCATCTTTTACCTCATCCTGATAGTTTAATCTACAGTGTATTGTTTATGATGACTGTAGATGAACTGAAAATCAGAAATGTGAGATTTATTCTAACCTAGCTCATATTCACAGGTATTTCCTTTAACCTATCAAATCTGGGTGTTTAATGATAAAAGACATATATCATACCTTCTTGCCTGTAGGACTGCACTGTCCTCCCAACTGGTATCTCTGTTTCCAAAGGTCTTTAGATACAATCTCAGAGCAACTAGTTCTTTGCAAGAATCTTAACTTTTTTCTGTATTTTAATGTTTGTCTCTATTTTAAAATAAAATTGGTATCATATTCTGGATAATTTGATGATTCTCTTAAGAAAGAAAACTGTCCACATTTTTGTGTGTTCAGTGATAGAGCTGATTTCAAGCAGTGTGACTACTAGCTGAAACCCTACTTCGTAAAGGATGCCTTTTTGCCAAATGAAGCCAAATATCTGTAAGGTGAACACAGAGTTTCACAATAGTGAGAGATGGAAACAAATGGTACAAAATTGACTAGGTCACAGAGCCCACCTTCATAGGCCAAATGCAAAACCAAAAAAATATATATATTCTATGTTTATATGTTTAAGTAACAGTATTATAAACTACTGTAAGAGTTGATGATGGGCATGGAGGTTTGTGATCTTTTTTTTTTCTTTTGAAAATGGACCGTCTTTTACTTAGATGGAGAAACTATGCCCATGAGTAACTTAGATTATACACAGATTTCACAGCCCCACCAAGGTCAGGAAATGACCTCCTCCGATACTTTGAAAAGCTATGTAACCTCAATCATCAAGAAATCATTTGCAACCCATTGGTAGATTTTTCTGCTCTAAAGGATGCATACTTATTTTGCCTATATTTCAAAGTCTTAATTTGCACTGTCCAATTATGGTAACCACTAGATGTGTGACTACTTAATTTTAAATTAAAAATAAATAAAATACAAGTTCAGTTCCAGTTGCACTGCCACATACCAGGTGCACAGAACCACATCTAGCAAATGGCTGCCATAACGAACAACACAGGAAAACATTTCCGTCATCACACAAAGTCTTATCAGACAGTACCATTCTAGAATTTTATTTTCTAATTTCTTGCAAAATAATTTATTTTCCAGTCTTTTAATTTAGAGAATTAACCACAGAAAAAGATGACATTTGGTCATAAAGGGTTCTCAATTATATTATTCACTACAATAGAATTTACAAAAGAGTTTCACATATGCTTGGCATGTGGCTTATCACTTTTTGTAATGAACTTTATTGTGCATATTTACATATGTGCATAATTGCACATGTACATTCAGTGTTTAGCTATTATGCCTGCTTATTTATAAATTAATCATGTTAATAAGTCCTAACTTTATTTGCAACTGTTGACTGAATGATGTACTATGAAACATTATATTTTTATGTCAGGAAGATTAATTGTTAAAATAATCCTATCTAATAAAAGACAAAAAGGGTAATGGACCGTACCTTCTCTACGCTTCCCATTGGCTAATCAGGGCGATATGCAAATTAACTGCCAAGAAAGATGGTGGTTAACCACCAACAAAGATGGCGGTTATTTTGCATACGTAGGCGCCAAGCGACAGAGCGAAGCCGGCTGGCCCTGGGCAGGAGCAGCGAGCGAAGGCTGGCATGGCGAGCAAAGAGCAAAGAGGGAAGCCTGCCGCGCCGGCCTCAGCCACGCCCCTCAGCCATGCCCCCGGGGCCCGCGCGGCAAGTGAATCTGGGTGAGAAGTTAATTCTGTGGTTTGGTGTCCTGGCTCTCCTGGGGCCAGGGGTGGGCAAAATGGGAATCCCTGCTCTGAGAGTTCAGGGTCATGGAGAGCACACTGCCCCCTGGTGGAGCACACGAGTGGTGCCAGTGGCAGGGACCCCCTCAGACCAAATGCTGGTCAGAGACCAGGGTGGCTGGTGGGGTTGGAGAGCCCCCTGATGGGGACACTCCGCCACATCCCCAGGGCCCGCGCGTGGCGAGTGAGGAGCTAAGCCCCTCGCCCGCCAAGCCAGCCTCCGCCATGCCCCTGGGGCCCGGGCCCCTCCCGGTGAAGAGCGAAGGCCTGGGTTCCAGGCGCCGGAGGAAAACTGGAGCCAGCAGCCAGGGGAAGGGGCCCCCGAGGGGGCCCAGACTGCGAGAGGGCACAGGCCAGGCTGAAGGACCCACCCGAGTGCACAAATTTTTGTGCACCGGGCCTCTAGTCTATATAATAAAAGCCCAGCAGCCGTTATGGTGGAACTACCAGAACAACCGGTCACTATGATACACACTGACCACCAGGGGGCAGACGCTCAACACAGGACCTGCCCCCTGGTGGTCAGTGTGCTCCCACAGCTGGAGCGTCGCTCAGCCAGAAGCCAGGCTCAGGGCTGGCGAGCACAGCAGCAGTGGCAGGAGCCTCTCCTGCCTCCGCAGCAGCGCTAAGCAGCAGCGAGCCAAGCAGTAAGGAGCGAGCAGACAGATGGTTAGGAGCGAGGGGAATTGCAGGAGGAATGTCTGACTGCCGGTTTAGGTCTGATAAGGCCTAAATCGGCAGTCAGACATCCCCCGAGGGGTCCCAGATTGCGAGAGGGTACAGGCTGGGCTGAGGTTCCCCCCACCCCTCTGTACGAATTTCGTGCATCGGTCCTCTAGTTTAAAATAAAACTAATACTGGGCAAAGATCTGATTGTTGTTTCTTTATGCCAATAAGTATAATGTATGATTCCATTACTTAAATAAGAAATTAGTATTGTTTATTCATTTCTCCCAAGAATCAAAATAAAATACTATATTTTGAAGACATTTTACTTTTGATAGATTGCTATGAATATTGATTGCTGTCAAATATGTGATATTATTTAAAATACTTTGCTTTTGGTTATTGTGCTCAAATGTGGCTCAGAATCTTATTGGGTATTATTGAAAATGTCCATTTTATATTTTATCAGATTTAGAAGCATAATGTCACAAAATATATTTAGACATTTCTCTCTTGCTTTCTAGTTAAATGCATACACATATATACATACATAATAAAAATTTGAATTTAGTAGTATATATAAATCTCGCCATTATTTTACTAACAGGAATTTATGATAACAATAGTTTCCTTTATTCTGCCATTAAAAACAGAAAAACTCCTAAATGATTAGGAAATAGAGGTGCAACTCTTCCCTGTATTTACCATCAAACGATACTTACTTACCATTCAGTGTAAAAAAAGGAATTTTTTAAGATTAAAAATTCAGGAGATGTACTGGAAAATACAACAAAAGTTTGTGTATTAAAGGAGTACTTAATTTATAAATGAAATAAGTACCTTATAAAGGCTTTTCTTTTTTTGTACTTTGTTTCAGGCTCAGGAGATATGGACAGTATTTCCAAGGTGGGTGATATGTATTCTGTACTGTTTTTTGTCTGTATTTTATTTCACACAGAATTCTCACTAAGATTATTAGAGTCACCTTATGAATTTTGTTCTTAAACAAGAGTTTGAAAGTAGAAGGCGAGATATAATTAACTGCAAGTTTAAAATATTAATGTATATAATCTGTGGGAAAGGGTAAAAATTAATCTTTCACAAATGTTCCTAAACATGCTAGGGTTCATTTACAGTATGCACTATCCCTGATTAATGGGTACCCAAGTAATAGCCAATTTAATCATGTTATGATATTTTATATTTGTAAAGAAGACTGACATACTTTAGGTAATTTTTTAAAAATGTAAAGAAGTCTATAGAAACATGAGAAGAGGTAAATTTGAAAAAGTGATTATTATATGTTATAAGGCCATTGCGTTTATACATCTCATTTGTCTTTCAAACCTTCCTTAGGAAATGCTGATGTCCTCAATCATTATTCTAGTTCCCTAAAATAGAGTATGAAAATAATTAGAGGAAAATTATAGTAATACAAGTAGGAAAGTAAGCCTTCAAAGAGCATGTGTCTGCATTTTTCTTCAAGAGTTTGAGTACCTAAAATTAATCCTTTGCTAAGATGCCTTATATTTTTTGAAGAAGCGTACCTAAATACTTTTTAGGTCATGATGAATTTAAAATAGTTCTCTGTGGATCAAAAATATATTTAGAATGGCTGATAAGAACTAATTATTAACTACCACTAGAATGACTCTGAGAAGTCTACTTTATATCAATACAGAAATTCATTAAAGGATGACTTTAAATTTTTAATTCTACTTCTAATTTATTTTCATGTATAATAATATAAAATTCTCGATGCCAAGGTAAATAAAATAAGATTGAGTTGCAAAACCTTTTAAATTAATACTTCCAGCTAAAAAGGAAAAAAGAGTGAGAGGGAGTTTAATTGGCATTCTGACTTTACACCTACACACCTGGCTTATACGTTCTACATACACTTTGGGTGTCCGTGTCTAAGATCAATCAGAAAGGCCTTTTTCTTTTCCAAAAATAGGTAAATATTTATACCATCACTAGCTTACTTCTGTGAGAAATAGTATTAGGTAAGCCTTCAAAAAGCCTGTTTTCAAAGTCAGACTCACTGTAAAACTCCATTGGGGCCTTTTCTCTGGGAAGCTCCTTCACCAGTTAGATGTCTGTGATTACATCAGCTCCCTTAGGGGCCGAACAACTGATATTAGCCGAATGGTGCTTTGTGGTCACAACTGAAATTTCTAATGTTAGATTTCAGTAGCATACCCTAGTACAGTGATGGCGAACCTATGACACGCGTGTCAAAGGTGACACGCGAACTCACTCTTTTGGTTGATTTTTCTTTGTTAAATGGCATTTAAATATATAAAATAAATATCAAAAATATAAGTCTTTGTTTTACTATGGTTGCAGATATCAAAAAATTTCTATATGTGACACGGCACCAGAGTTAAGTTAAGGTTTTTCAAAATGTTGACACTCCGCTCTCAAAACGTTCGCCATCACTGCCCTAGTATCTAAAGAGGACTCTTCGTTACACAAATGTGGGATCATCTGAATCACTTAAGGCCATCTTCTAAAATTTCCACTACAACCCATAACTTTGTACATTAGGTAGTTGTAAACAATTCTATATTGGAGAGTACTTGGTAATTTATTAAGTACTTTGAAATGTTTAAATAGTGCCATAAGGACAACTTAGATACCATCTTCTAATCTGCCCCATATCAAGTCTGTTGCTGTTCCTTCTATGCTTATTTTCCCATTCCTATTCCCAGAGACAAGTTTTTCCCTGGAAAAAAAATGCTGCTGATAACATTCTCTTGCCTAATGAGGTATTGCTTATTTTTTAAGCATTAATGAGCCACCCATTGTGTACTTCTGTGTACTGGGTACTGCCTTGTGCACTGTGGGGAGAGGCGATAGACTTTAAGTACAAACATGATCTTTGCCCTCAAGTGGTTTAAACTTAGGCAGCAGTTCCTTCATTCAGTAAACATCAGTGCTGCCAAGGCTTATTCTAGGCTCTCAAAATCCAAAGATAAACAAGATAAGGTCTCTGCCTTCAAGAAGCTCAATATAACTAAGGAGACCAAACAAAAACAATAAGGAAAAGCTTTTTCAAATCAGAATTCAAATACATTTCAATTAACATAATCATCATTTCCAAGTAATCTATAAGCCACTTAGCAATGTACTAGAAATGACCAGTTGCATCCCCTTCAGATGAGCTCCTAAGCAGCCCCTTTCTGCACCGCACCGCCCCCAAGCTGTCAGGGCGATGGTGCCATCAGAGTCTGTCATGTCTCCAGTTACCTTTTCTCTAGTCAGCAGCATCCTGTATATTAACCCCCCTCCCCCATCCCACTTAGTTTTCTCTTTACCTCTTTCCATTCACTGCCTAGTTATTTGTCTTTTACTCCAAGCTGTGCACATTGTCACTAACTCAATTTCCCGTCTTCTTCCTTCCCAACACTATCCAGCTGCCTCACAAAACTCTTTTCTGCCTTTTTCCTGGGTTTGATCCCTCCCATCCTATTCTTTTCCTAGACATCCTTGCTTGTGAATCAGAAGATAATCTTGACCACTACTGCTTAGCAGTTTGGTTCAAAATCCCTCTTAGATCTCCAGCTACATCTCCCCAGTTACCCAGTTAAACCTGTATTTTATCAAGCATCAATATTACATATTTTTTAAAATTTCTTATTCCATTTTTAAGTGTTGTTTTTTAGTACCATTTCAATTCTTTTTCTATTTTTTAATTATAAATATACTCTTTTTTTATGCATTTTATATGTAAGGTGAAGATTACTGAATTGAGAATCAGAAAGCCTGGTTCTACTACTTACAAGTTTTGGTGGCAACATGTTACTTGATATCTCTTAGGCTTTGTTTTCTTAGCTCTACAATAAGAGATAGAGCTTATAGGTCCTTTCTTACCTAGTTCATAAAATTGTTGAGAGTCATATGCTAAGGGCTATGAAACACTGTACAGATACTAAATATTTTCCTCTTCATTCTGCTACCTTTTGTGGACAAGGCTAGGAACCCACACTGTCAACTCCCTTTTGACAGCACTGTTCTACTGGCAAAATGAGCTCAGGGCTCCAAACGAAGAGTTTTAACATGACTCTTGCTCAGTTGAGGATTACCTAGTAAAACTTATATGCACCTTTCTCATAATGCAGAATTCACTTTTAATTTAGAAGCCTTTTTAAAAAATATTTTTTTATTGATTTCAGAGAGGAAGGATAGAGGGAGAGAGAGAGAGAGAGAAACATCAATGATGAGAGAATCATTGATTGGCTGCCTCTTGCATGCCCCCTACTGGAGATCGAGCTGGCAACCTGGGCATGTGGCCTTGACCAGAATCGAACCTGGGACCCTTCAGTCCGCAGGCAGACACTCTATCCACTGAACCAAACCAACTAGGGCTAGAAGCCTTTTTTAATGAAAAGTGAAATGCTTGTCATCCCTTTTGCAACTGAGGAGTCATTCAATCAGTGGAACAAAAATATTATGCCTTGAAGTTGTTTTAGGAGTTGGGGTTAGAGAGGAGCATATGGTTGTCTTCTTAGAAGGAATTCACCTAAATAAATTCTGCAGTTCACATTAAGATACTTAGCATTTATACTTTTTTAGTTTGGAAAAAAATCAGAAGGCACAGTCTGATCATGTCATGCTCAATAAATTCTCAAAGGAGCCTTTCCAACCTGAACCTTTCGAACCCCATGAGCCTTAGTTCCAGTTCAATGTTCCACGCCATTTGCAGGGTTGCCCATCAGCAGCTACAGAACTTTGCCATCGTCGCAGCTGCGAGCCTGAGTTCTCGCTCGCTTAACCCCTGGGGGACCTGGACTGGCAGTTTTTTCTTTTGGGCAAATGGCAGAGTCAAAATGACACTTATAAACCTTGCTATTGCCTGTGAGAAATCAAATCAAAATTCACTTCCACGGGGCTTAGAATACTGTCAATATTGTTTTCTTCCAATTATAGACGGAGCCCAAATTTCTACAAGTGTTCCCTTTTTAAATAGCAGTTTGAAAGTTTGGGAGCAATTTCTGGGGATAGGTGGGAGAAGGAACAATAACTAACTAATTAAGAGATGATTTGGAAGATAAAAATCACAGAAGAGAGAGCTAAATGAAATGTGTTAGCCAGAAGAAATTGGGTGTGTGCGAGCCCACACACAGGCACATGTATACTTAAAATAGCATTTGTATATGATGTCATAGCTTAAGTAGGGGAAACATTCCAGTTTGAAAAAAAGGTGAATGAGAATGTAAGAAAATCCTTTGAAAATGGGATTAATATAATTTTAACTATAGTTTTTCAAGCTAAATTCTTAGACTACAAGTAAGGAATAAAGTACACATTAACTGAAGTAGAAAATGCAACCAAAATGCCTAATATTGCTAAAAGTAAATTTTGCTTGTATTCTTTGTGCTCTGTACTCCCTAATTATATGCTTAAGCAACTGGAGTGCCTTTTTGACCCACCTAAGCCCTTTTTGTGCATTATATTCTTGCTTTCATGATAACATCTCCTGAGCACTGCACACAAACATACCTACAGTTAACTGAAATATACACCCAGTTCATTGCCACCCACCCTCACAACTTGCTCCGGCCCGTTGTTTGGAACCATCTTGGCTGTTCCTCAGGTGCCTGTATTGAGTGTGACTTTATCTTCATCATGTCACTCAGTGATCGTGGACAGCACAATCTCCTTAAGACCCCCCCATTAGAAACTTTTGTTGTTTTTTTGCAGCATTTTATAGAGATTACTTCAGATTTTTTTTTTTAAAGATTTCAAGATTTTCAAACATTCCCAGTGAACTAGAAAGGAGTAGGTTTCAGAGATCTGGTATTAGTTCAGTTTTGTATCTTCCTCTCAGTGTTCTTATATAACCCCACACAAAAGTGTGCAATGCTGAATCACCATGATATGAAAATAATGCGCAAAATAACAAAAATAATAACGCTGGGAGTGTTTTAAAAATATTTCTTCTAAATATTTCTAAATATTTAAATAGTAATACAATATTACTTTCAAATTTCAAATATTTTAAAATCAACACGTTGAGTCAGGAATCAGATTTTAAGTTAGATAAACTTTCAAAATAATAAGTCAAGAAATGAGATATGGCAAAAGTGCAGCGGAGTCTGAGAACACCGCGACTCAATCAGATACGCTGCTCCTCTGGGGCACCTCAGGAGCTACTGGGAATGTGAACGTTCCGCTAGAGTGGAGAGGGCATATTTCATAGATTTGTTTGAATCTGTAGAAGTCTTCAGCTCCAAGGTGCATCCTCACATACCCTTAGGTAGATGTTAGATTATTTTTTATTCTAAGATTATCAGTTTCTCCATATATATGAAATGACAGAAATCTGCCTTCACCCAAAAGACCTAGATTTGGGGTGAATCTTAAAATATTTGTATAAAGTTACTTTTATTTTTGATCTAAGTCAGCATTATCATTTCCATTTTCCAAACATTTGATTAGTTAGTAACTTTAATCATGAATAAGTATAGCTTTGTTAGTTGCACTTAATTAAATTTTACTCATGTTTTTTAGGAAATCAAGTTATCCATGTTCATTTCAATGTAGATTTGCTTTTCAATATACTTGGAAAACTAACATTTTTAAAGAATAATTCATTTTTTTAAAAAAAAAAAAAGAGTTCTCTTTCTGCTATTGACCATGGTTCTCCAGCTGGTGTGGTTCATTGGCAAATGGAGCTTCCGTGGACTCGGAGGCGCCTGGTTGTCAGCTGCTCCCTGTGGGGTGCACAGCAGGACAACATACAAGCGAACTCCGCCGCTTCCTGTACCTGTGTCTGCTGTGCATTTAGCCTTATTTTTAAAAAAGCACATATTCTCATTCATACAATTTTAAATGTTATGACATAACTTATCTTTAGTTAAGTCACACCGTCAGTGCAATTTTCTTTTAAACAGCCGAAAACCAAGTGTACAATGTCAATGGCTTAGGGAAAAAATATTAAATCTTTCTCTCACTTGAAATAACAAATAAAAAATTTTGACCTTGAAGTTTCTTTTTACAAGTCTATAAATTGGACCTTGAAAGAGTCCCTCAGTCACAGTCGCAGTACTGTGTGAACGTGCTTTATACGCCAGTGCATTCAATTCGTATTTCCTATAGATGTGGAGTACAAGACACCCTCACAAGGCTAACATTGTACAGTAATAATTAGACTAGAAAATTTAAATAGAACATGAAGTGATGTACTGCTTTGTGTTTGATTAGATTGCTAATATCAACCATTTTATCTTAAAGCAAAATTTCAAAGTAAATCTACTCTTAAACTAATGAGAGAAAAAGGTTCTAAAGCAGGTTCATCTCGGAGCCTTCTTTTCTTCTAAAAGTACATATTGAATTCTCAGGTCCTGAGGTATTTCTCTTGTTCTTAACTATAGTTGTTAACTATCTTCTTTTTTTCCTTATGGTTCATATAAAAATAATGGTTAAAATAGTGTTACTGTGCAAACCGTATGTGAAATGAAAGGGAAATGTTTATGAAAATGGTGATCTTTTGACGTTTGACTAATAAAATTACCAAGAGAAGGTGTCACTCCGTCATGCCTGATCAGTAGGTTGGCTCTTCATCGTGCCCCTGCTGGAAATGTTTTTAACTCTCCAGAGTTCTAGGAACTCTGTAAACTGAGGGTGGGAAATTGAATAAATATTGATTCTGAGACTAAGAAAAAGAGTTGTGGTGGGTTATTTCGGGTGTTCTGTGTGTTTTTTAATTTTCATTTGGGAAAGCATTAGTACTTGTCAAGGTTCAAAGAATGAACCAGAAAACATGCTCTAAGATTAGAATCACAAGTCGGCTTTGTCCGTAGAGATGCTGCTATAGATTCCAATTTTGAAACAGTACAATGCAAGAGGGAAATTAAAATCTTCAACAATGCCTTGTTTTCTAAATCTTGTTTACAGAACTCTCCCAATAATATGAGCCTGAGTAATCAACCGGGCACTCCAAGGGATGATAGCGAAATGGGGGGAAATTTCTTAAATCCTTTTCAGAGTGAGAGTGTAAGTATTCCCTTGACTACATTATTATATCCAGATTTTATTTCTGAAGCTCTTCTATTAGAAGTAATGCATAAAGCCATTATTGCAACTGTTTAGAGTTCAATAGGTTGATCTTTTAAAAGTCAGAAAATTAAGTGAAATTTCTTTGAAAAAAATATAAAAATAAACTTTTTCTTTTTTACTCCCATGTACATACATAGTTACAAAAACAAAAATTATAATGCTAACTTTCTCATACAGAACATCCACCATCAGGAGCACACTGGAAATAGGTTACATATTTGATAATTTTTGTTAAGTTCTCCCATTACTAAAATGTCTTGGATCACTGCAAACCCAGGTCTGTGCTTAGTGCTGTCTGTCCTTAAGGCTCTGAAAATTATCTAGATGCCTGTACTTCCACTAGACCTCACTCCCTGGTTTTACATTGTTAACCTGTTTTTTACATTTAACCTAAACTGACTACCCAGCTTCTTTTTTGAGTGTGAGTATAGTGTTAAGCAAAGGCAGTATCATTCATATCTCCATAGAAGTACACAAGAACAAAAAGAGAAGCAATAAAATTCACTTGTTCATTTAATAAACAATTACTGAGCATGTACAATGGGCTGTGCTAGGCACTGGTGAGACCAAAAAGACAATGTGCTGTCTTTTTTCAAGGGGTTATTACATAATACAATGATTTTAAACTAATATTTCACATTAAAAGCATCTATAGAATTTTTAAAAATAGAATTTGCCAGAACCCTCCCTAGACCTGGTGAATCAGAATTTCCAGGAGTGGGGCTGAGCAAACCTGAATGTGGAAAAGCTTTGGAGGTGCTGCTGCTGCACACTCTCTGCTCAGCGCCACTGGACTGGAATACGGCAGAAAGGGTTTCAGACCCAGACGAATTTCAGTCCCAGGGCCAGTGCCTCCACACATGATCGCCATCTTTAAAACTGATTATGGAGGATCTACCAACTACAAACAGAATCCGAAGAAAAAGCTACCCTCATGTTGCCCTAGTTCAACCTTCAGTAGAGGAGACACCATCAGAATTGAAGCAGTGGCTAGTCACTTGCCCACTTTTGCACAGAACAGTGCTTTCCAAATGGACCCAAGATTGGGTGTTCTGTGGACTCTCTTACTTCTTGGTGTTGACCTAGCGCCTCTGCATGGGATAAGACTGGCCCTGATTTTTTACTTTACTTTTGTTAAAACTAGAAATGCAGTTATGCTGATCTTTGGTTTGTCTGTTTTATTTCCAGGATATATAAACACAGGTGTGGGGAAAAGTAGGTTTACAGTTGTGAGTATACAAAAAGAGCTTATTTTTGTAGTAGTATTATTATTTACTAATTATTGTATTATTTTCCATATAAACAACTGTAAGCCTACTTTTGCCCCACTCTATGTATATGTATGTTAACAAGGACAAAGAAGGCATACATAAAAATTCATATTAAAAAAATCCAGAGTAGCCCATTCATGATGAGGAAATAAGAAATACATGAGAAACTATGTAGTTTGTCATAATGCTTAGGATTATGGAAATTATTTCTTAGACCCTGGTTCTTTCATTAGTTTGTTGCAAGACTATGGACAAATTAGTTAATTTTAATTAATTGGTTAATGTTTACTTGATCTAATTAGATGCATTTATTTTTATGCTAATTCTTCCAGCAATAAAATGCTATAAATTAGTGAGGTATATGATAATTACTTCAGTTCAATTCAACATTTATTGAGCCTGCTTTATGCAAAGCAGCAGGTTAAGGACAAAGTATTCTGAGATAAATATAACACATCCCTAACCTCAAAAAATATAATCAGATGGAGAGAACATACTTACAAAACTAATTAAACCATATGTCAGATTAATAAGTACTATCATAGATATAAACCAGGTGTTTTAAAAGCATGGAGGAAATTATTTTAGATTGGATAAGAAAACTTTTTTTAAAGTTTCCACATGACATGAATTCCAAAGGAGCTGTCCCCTCTCCTTCCTCCCAGATCTGTCATTCCTGACTGCGGCCATGTTTACAGGGAAGGGGTGACACCTCAGAGTTGGCACCAGAATTCTCCCTGTGGTGATCAAAGAATCAGATATAACAGGACTTTAAAAGTGTCTTTGTGCAGAATACACACCAGCCTCACCCTTTAACCCCAAGTGGAGTATGTTCTCGTAGAACAGCAGGTCCTTTTGTGCATCTGTGCATAGAAAAGAGAGCAGCTGGAGCAGGGCCTTGCCCACCCTGACCCCTGCCCTTGAGGCCTGGAAGAAGGTAAAATGCTCTGCAGAGTTAGGGAAAACAGTCCCCACCTTTTCTTCTCCCTCCCGCTCTCCTGTCCCCACCAGAAAAGTCTCCAAAGGCAAAATAATTGGACGGTGGTTGAGAAAGGGCACCCCCACCAGAGGTAGTGCGGCCTTAGCAGCAGGTCCCCCTGGGGCTCCATCCTCCTGTTCACCGGGTGCGGGCTCTGCCTCATGAATGATGTCACCGTTTTCTGTGGTTTTCTCTATCACATCACCGCACATTTTTGTTTAGACTTTTATTTAAAAGATCAAGAAATGAGAGCAGAGAGGAAGGAAGACAAAAGAGATTCCTTGCTGACAAATTAAGGCCTCAGGAAGAAGTGGACTAGGTATCGCCAGTAAGTTATAATGTCTGCAAGGCCCCTTTCCTGCGACTTCCCCGTGAGCTGGCAGCAGCCCCGCCTTGGCTCATTTCTGTCCGGTAACAGCTCTAGAGCCAGAGTGGCCCCGCCTGGGCTCTCCCCTGTTGCTGCTTCTATCCTAAGACCTTCCTTGTTTCTCTGTCCCCAGATTTAATAAACGTGCTTTCAAAAGAAAAAAAGAACGTACTTTCAAAAGAAAATTTTCCACTGAATAAACATTTAAAGTTCGTGGGGGTTTTTTAATGCCCATAACTCTGAAAATCACATATTGCTGAGCAGTCTGCCTTTTGAAGATTTGTTGGCCTTTATCTTGAAGCTAAACCACAGAAAGAGGCCTGGGAAGGAAGCAAACATCGATTGAGTGCTTATCATGTACACACACTATCCTGGTCACTTCACATGTGCTTCTTTATTTAATTCATATAGAAACAAAGATTCCCCACCGAAGTCAGAAACCTTGCTGTGTCAACATGCTTTACACAGAAAAACGTGAATCGGGAATATTTCACTCTTCAGCCTCTGTTCTTTAGATCGTAAACAAGGTCTTTATTTCAAGAAACAAAGATGCCCCCTAGTGTAAATTCAGTGAAATGTTTGGTTTTAAAAATACAGAATACAAAAGGGCTTAGTTCAAAAAATAAATGTTTCATGCTTCTCAAGTAAAAAAGTCACTTACCTTATTTCTTGAATTAACTTAGCAGAATATTTTCTCCATGGCATTAAACTATAATCAACTGAGCAAACATGATATTAAAATCATGATATCAAATAGGAATCAGAAACAAATTGCGAGATCATCTCTTACACCCTTACTGCTTTTGTCATTTCCTGCTATTGCAAAGAAATCACATATGGCCAATGTTTTTTACATAGTCATATACACACTAAATTTATCTCACTTTAGTTTAGCTCAGAGTAGCTGCAGTCTACTTATCTCTCATTAAGAAAATAAAATATTATCTACGTATGTAGAGATAGAAATATAGTGAGATCTGAGGTGTTCTTGACGTGATTAAACAGGAACTAACAAACATTGTTTGGGATTTAATGGATAGCATGCACATTTCATGAGCATGAAAGGGGTATAATAAAGGGAAAGCCATAGATTCTCTAGTACATACCAAGGCATGTTCATTTCAAAATATATTTTACATAAAAAGGTAAAACAAGCTGGTATGTGCTGAAAATTATACCTTGAGGTTTCACTCTCTTTTTGCCAAACCAAACACTAATGCTGTCAGCAGCTTTATCAGAGCCATTTTATCATCTCCTGGAGGAGAACTAGACTCAGAACAGTTTTGAAACAGGACAATCCGATATCCCAGGATTCTGCCGCTCACATGACAGTGTGTCTTCACATACTGAGGCGGCCGCACAAGGAAAACATTGCAGGGTGGTCTAGGAAAGTACACCATGAATATTTAATGTCTCTAAATCTGCTACCCCATTTAACACCTACTCTTCCTTTACTTCTGGAAAACTCTAAGCCACTTCTCCTCCGAAGAACAGTAACCAGTAGCAGAATACCTTTTGCCATGCACATTCTGCGGGTTGTTCTAGAAATTTTGTGATGTTCCTTAGTTTTACATAGTTGAAGCATTTCCAATAAAGCAGCAGCAGGTGAGCAGGTTGTAGCCTGAGCCATGCAAACAACACATCACTATGTAGGCACTCAGACATCCGTGCGATCTATTAACCTGCACCAAATGCACACAGAGCATCATTTCACAGCTACGCAGACTATCCAGGCACATTAGCAGATGCTTGCTAATTTTTCTGAGTTTTGTTGCTTGGAGCTGCTGCTTCCTTCCTTTCTGACTGACCTTTACTTTCCTTTTTTGTGTGTGTGCCTTATTTTTTCACTTAGTTTCCTCCCTGGACAAGCCTCGCTCTCCTAACTTCCCAGTGAATCTGTAACAAGTTTTCATTTCTCTGTAAAACATTTGAAATATCACAGGATAAAAATCTTAACAATTGTCACTGAAAAGATGGTAGCAACTAACAAACATGCTTGACATGCGGAGAATGTGTGTGTGTGTGTGTGTATATTATGTAAAATATATATATATATATATTTACCTGCACCTGCACCTACATATATATATATATATATTTACCTTCACCTATACTTTTGACAGTGCATATTAGAAAGAAGGCTAGAATATATGTATAACTGCATTCCCTAACATGACATGACATATGTGACATGTGAATCAGCTGGAATAATCCTATGAAAAAGGACTGAAGAATTTCTAAAATCCCGATGATCCAAGGTGTGCATTAAATGAAATGATCTCTGGAGTTCATTATGACTTCTCCACAAGTTTGGTGTGTTTTTTTTCAGACATTTTCTTTGAAGCTTTTTTCTGAAATGCTCTAGTATCTTTTACTGTTTTTAGATTATTGGCACAATATGCCCAATAAAATATTTGTCTTGAAATAATGATTGATGATTTGGCTGTGTTATTTAAATTTAAATTAATTATAACAAAATACAACTAAAATTTCACTTCCTAACCTGCACTAGCTACATTATAAGAGTCAGTTGCCATGTGTGGCTAGTGGCTGCTATATAGGACAGCACAGAAAGCATCCACTATCGCAGAAAGTCCGATTGGACGGCACTGATGGGATCACCGATTCTTACTGTAAAGAACAGTAGCTATAGAAAGCATAGATTACATTTTTCTGTGCCCATTTTTTTTTTGCCATATTCTCTAAATTTTTCTACTTTTAATAAAACCTTGCTATCCATTTATTTTCCTGTTTATTCTTACACCTGAAAGTCAAATACCAAAATATAATTCTGTTTCATCAAAAGCTGTGCATAGTTCATTGAAGCTTGCTGCCATTGCTTATGACAGGAGATTTGCATGGCACCTTCTGATGAAATGGGGGCATATCCCCCTTCCAGCACCCGGTCGGGGTGAGCTCCATTTCATCAGTCCTTGTTCGTGATTGCTGTTGGTTTTGGGTTTTGTTTGCTTTGCTTTGCTGCCATTATCAAGGGTAAAGGGGAGACGTTTTCTATCAAACTGAATCCCCTTTCTCTTCTCTGGCAGTCTCCTTTTTTTAATCACCCTATTCACTGTAATGCAACATACAGTCAGTAACACATAATTTAGCTTTCTTATACTGAAAAGAAATTTGAGGCTGTTAAGTGATTAACAAGTAGATTTTTCTTGATTTGACCTGTGTTTAAAAAATTAACACAGTCTTCCCCTATAGTCTAGTGACCTGTTTTCAGGCCTGGTCATCCACCTTTATTCAGGATCAATGAGTGTTTTTTACTTGAGCCCTGGATTTACACCTAATGACTTTCTGCCCAGCCAACTGAGCCATTGTCACCTCTGCTCTTCTTGGGAATCTCATTTTTTCTATATTAATAAGTCCATCCTTATCTAAGTGCACACCTTTTACCTTGTTTCTGGTTCCTACAGTACCTCAGCTCATGTGGAATCCATGTCATTCTTTCCCATCTGCTCCCTTTTGTAACGTGTATGCTCCCTTTTCCAGGGTCATCACTGGTCCAGGTTAAGTCCCTGGGACCTGGGACCAACCCCCTGGACTCTACCTGCCTCTGTCCACAGGCACAATCATTATTAACATGCTAAAAGGAACTCCCCTCTGCCCTGGTCCTCACAGGGTTCTAATAAAGCATGTGTAGTATTGCAGGGCGCACGTGTATATTTTAATCTAGAAATGCTCTTGGGAGTGGAGGCCCTGCCCTCACGTCAGAGGCTGTAGAAGTGTGCTGTCCAAGATGTGGGCCACTGGCTATATGTGGATATTTAAGCTTAAGTAAATTAAATAACATTAAAGTGTTGGTTCCTCAGTGGCATTACCAACGTATCATGTGCTCAGTAGCCACATGCAGCTAGTGGCTTCCATGTTGGGCAGCACAGTCTTAAAACATGTCCATCATTAAAGAAAGTTCTGTTGGAAGGTGCTGCTCTTACAACTCTCCTATCACAGTCTGTCCCTCAAGAACAGGAGGGTAGATTGGCATAATCATCCAAATAATTCCTCTCGATTCCTCTCTCAATCATTTTGGAGATCACTTCCAAATTTCTGAAAGCCTCACCCAAATCGAACTGACAAGAAACATGTAACAACAATGCCCTCCACCCACCCAGAAAAGACTGGGTTGAGATGAGATTAGGGAAGAGGTTTATATGCTAAATATACTAGTAGCTAGACCAGCGGTTCTCAACTTGTGGATCGCGACCCCTTTGGGGGTCGAACAACCCTTTCACAGAGGTCGCCTAAGACCATCGGAAAACATATATAATTACATATTGTTTTTATGATTAATCACTATGCTTTAATTATGTTCAATTTGTAACGAAAATACATTCTGCATATCAGATATTTACATGACGACTCATAACAGTAGCAAAGTTACAGTTATGAAGTAGCAACGAAAATAATTTTATGGTTGGGGTCACCACAACATGAGGAACTGTATTAAAGGGTCGCGGCATTACGAAGGTTGAGAACCACTGAGCTAGACTCTTAAATATTCTAAATGCTTTAATAATAACTTCTTAGGGCCAGCTAGGAGTTGTTTTTGTTTTGTTTCCCTTACACTGTTAATCAAATATTTACTGAGTCTTTGCTGTGTATTCAATCAATACATGGTTTTAAGGGTTATATATTTAATCCTCCCAAAACCCCCTTAAAGTGGATGGTATCATTAAACCCATTGTATAGGTGAGGAAATTGAAGCTCAGAAAGCTTAGGTAACCTCCCAAGTTTACATGGCTAGTAAATAGCAAGACTGTCCCTCCACCCTATTTCATTATGATTCAGCCTTGGACTGGATTTACCCAAATTATAACAAATGCCCATGAATCTGCTGGAAGGAAAGGGCCGAGGAATTGGGTAATTATCATCCACCTGAGTCCAGGGAGAGAATGTGAATGGTTACTTTCCAGAGGAAATGTTAAAACTTTCAGGACTAAGTCAACTCTGTATGCATTTATTCTTTTTATAGTTTCTTATTTTTATGTTGTATGAGGTTAAAAGCTTGAGCATAAAAGATTATAAGACATTAAAATTCATAGTTACTATTGTTTACCACGAAGAACATTAGTGGTCTGTAAAAGAATTATTGTTAAAATATGGATTCTTCTTTCTTTCTAGTATTCCCCTAGCATGACAATGAGTGTGTGATCCATTACCAAGTCTCCTCATGAAAACCACAGTGAGTCAGCCCTTCACAGAACTACTAGGGAAGAAAATTATTCATCACAGTGTACAGTTAAACAAAGGAATCTCAGTCACACCAAACCAACCTTTTTATTTCCTGCTCTCTCCCCTATTTTGTGAAGAAAGCGGGTCCAAACGTGATTCAAACAACTGTACGGAGCGGCATATTAGAATTGCCCTAAAATGAACTGCAAATAATTATCTGTGTATGTATATGTGTGGGAAAGAGGATGTATTGTATATGTGTATGTTATATGGACATATACACATGCATACATTGGCCCACAGGACATTGTAAAATACTATCATATGACATCTTAAGTAGAAATGAGTAGGGACTTTTATTCCATCCTTTTTTTTTCACGTTTACATTTTAATTATTAAAAGTTGCTCCTGCCCCTCCCTGAACTATTTTGTGCTGTGTATATCACTGCTTTATATAAGTTATTTTTTAAGGTGAACTCAGATGTTATGGTTTTGTAAATGTCTGCAATCATGGATAGGAATAAAATCGCTTATTTGAGAGCTTTCATTAAATCGCGTCTGATGCAAGTTACCCTGTGAATCACAAAGTGTACTCTTTCAAAAAAAAAAGAAGAAACTGTCTTCATCTTTATGTCAAATCAAGCAATTTCTCAGTTACCTTTAGTGAAAATATTTTTGTACCTTTTGTTTTAAAAAAAAATACATCAACAAAAGCTTAACTGGGACCTAACAGTTTATTTCTGCAATAACTGCTTTAGATGAAATTCTTGACTTGTCTTAGATACAGAAAATCCTTAATTAGTACCAATTGCTTAGAACATAGCAATAAAGTGATGGGGCTTGTCATGTTTTTAGCAACATATTTTCTTTATGCCACGATAAAAACCAGAGAGATCAGAAAAACCATTTGCTTGAATCTGTCACTTGTCACCAGGAATACTAGAGCAAAATTTTTAATAACATACTAATGCGAAATGGTATCTGATTTTTATTCTGACCTTTTGTGAATATTTTCCACATAGACATTGCAGAGAAGATGCACTCAAATGACTGAGACTTTCAGCCCAAGGAGGAAAGAGTTTTCCCACACCCAGGGCTCTGGCTGCTGCCTTCCTGCCCAGACGCCCAGCTTCCCAGCAGCAGCATTGATCTGCAGGGCCCTGCTGGGCACTGCTCGCTGGCGGCTGAGCTCCTGCTCTCTGCCCAGGGTACAGCCCGATACTGAAATCATTTCGGAACTGCATTTCATTTGGCCATTGACGTCAGCAGGCTACATCTACATTGTGTCACTGTTCAGAAAAAAAAAAAAGAGTAAATGCTAGAAAAAAAAATGTAACCACTTTCCTTATGAAAGCCCCTTGCCCCATGGCACTTTCCAGATCTTTTAGGATATTTTTTGTGTGCAATCCTAGGTACAAACACCAAAATCATAATAGAAAAGTGTGACAACTTTAATTGTAGACTCAGAAAGATAAGTTGGTAATCTTTTCTGCTAAAATTGTGATGTAAACAACCATTGATAAATATCCACTATGTTTTCAAACTCCAAAGATTTTGAAAAGCATTGTTTAATTTCCAGTAAGAGGACTCCTTTCTTTAGGCTTATGGTCTCTAACATGTATTTGCTGATTCCTGACCCAGGTTATTATTTCTCTAAAATCTGTAGTGATCTATTCCTTATGAAAATAAGGAGTTTGCCTGTGCATGACACAGGGATGCTGGGCAGATCTGTTGAAGGGAAAAAGAGAGGCCAAGTTAAATGTATGTTCAGATTTAAGTTCTAATCAAAAGAGTCGCCATTACATCCTTTGCAGGAATCCAGGACTGCGCACTGGAGAACAGCTTCAGGCTTTCAAGGACTTTCATGAAGAATTCAAACTAAAAGATCCGTTTGACTCAAGCCAAGGCAGCTTGAAGATGACACTTTGTACTGGCACATAAATTTACCAGAATAATTTTAACTTCCACTGTTTGTGATAACTGTGTGAACACCAGCAGTCCTGTGGTTAAGCTTAATCTAGAATTTTCAAATGTTTGGTTGAGTTTTTTTCATTGTTACTGATCTTGAATTTCTTTTATTTGCCTTCTAAGAAGGTATTGTTTCTTATTATCACAAAGAATCATGAACCTTATTTTAATTGGCCCTTATTTGGGGGGTAGTATTGGAATATAACTAGCAATATGGGTTCCAGTATTTCTAGCCTCTTTGGTTAAAAAAAAGGAGTAAAATTTGATTTTTTTCCAAGGTATTGCAATCAACTCATTATAAGTATTTACTTACTTTTCTCTCTTGGAACCCAGATTAAAAATAGTTATTTCAAATTTTTTAAATTCCCGGAATAGTTGAAATTTTATTTTTAAGGAAAAATTATATTCAAGAGAACCAGAAAATAAGGATACTTAATTTTAATATCAAATACTTTTCTCATGTACCAAATAGAGGATACTATATCTGTATATTAATTTTTGTTTAGGTTTTGAATCATTTAAACCTCCTTTTCTCCTATAAGATGACAATGTTTTCTCTTGTGTTTTCCATCTCCATCCATGTGTTTATTTGTTTTTGATATATAATACCTGTTCCTGAGTTATTTCTACATATTTCACCTCCAAGTAATAATGTCAGCAATTCTTGCCTACATTGAACATAGAAAATGCACATATGAAATGTGAAAATAAGTAATAGATGAAAACGTTAATTCTTATTACTCTGCTTTGCATTCTGCCTAACTCACACAGTTGAAAATGCATGTCAGATGCTCTCTAAGGTATGTATAATCTTAGCCAGCCGTCTTTCTTATAGTCAAGTTGCCCATGGGAACAAAGGCTATGGAGGGCCCTTGATCTGGTAATACACACATGTTCAGTGGGTGAATCTTTGTGCTCCATTGCAATGTTCCAGTTTGGACTCAGTTACTGATGAATAAGAATTACACCGCTAGGAATCTGAGGTTAAGTTTTCTCTCCTGCCAAAGATTAATATATTAATTTTGCTCTCCGAGCCATGGAAAGTACCCAAAACACCCCTTTCCTTCTAGGAATAAAATAGAGAAAACTTCCATTTCTATGTTTATGGTTCTCTAAGATGTCTGAACTCCATTGCATTTCATAGGTCATTCAGTTACCACTCTTCCTGTAGTTTAAAAGACATCCAGTGAAATAAATGAGTTCCGTTTGGGACACAGGAAGCCTACATCTGTCCACACCATTTCGTCACATGATCATTCTGGGAACACACAGCAGCATCCAGAACTCCCTTGGCAGAGAGTGTGCCAGTCCTTCATACTTGACCTGATTGTTTCTTGCGTGGCTTTCTCCATCCCTCCCTCCCAGTCCCTGCACCTTCCAGTAGAAATAAGATGCAGACTGAAGATTTTTACCTTCTGAGCCCTTGTAATTTTCTTTTTCATATAGTTTTCCCAAGGGAAATCATTGCTATTTCCATTTCTTGATTATCGCAGTTAATTAGAAACAGAGCCACAAAGCATAGCTACTTCACTTTGGTAAGCATTATAGTATTTTGACACTGGTTTTCCCTCCATTTTGATGTGTTAGGTACTATACTTCTCGAAAATACTAACTGATACAAGTGGTGCAGGAGTGTATAGTGAGGGAGAAGTTCAATATGGAGGGGGAAAAGTTGCCCAAAATATTTCCAAAAAGTGGATTAGTCCTTTTTTGTTTAACCCCTCAAGGTGGAATAAGTTTCTTATTTGCTGTGAGAAACAGGAGTCTGTGTTTGCTTAAAAGAGTAATACCCAATTGTAAGCATGTGTAAGGGGCTCCCTGGGCCTGTGTACCACACCTTGAGAAATGCTGGAAACATAAAAGAAAGAATGGTGAACCACTAGAATTACCATTCCATTTTGCATACTCAATGTGTGTGTGTGTGTGTGTGTGTGTGTGTGTGTGCGCGCGCGCGCGCACACACACAAGTTTGTTGGGGGTGGTAGTGTGAAGTTGGCTCACAAAACACTCCCATTATGATTTACATTATTATAGCACAACTGGTAACTATTCAACATAATTCTTTCCTTTGATTGCTTTTTATTTCATTGGTAAAGTAAGTGATGGAAGTGATTTAGGATGAAAAGAGTAGTACAGACGTAAGCAGATGGATCTCCTGTGCCCAACTTTAACCTACCCATGTTAGCTCATCCACAGTAGGCCCCCTTATGAAGGCACTGCATCTAAAGGTAAGATCATAAATGATCATTTCATCATTAGTCACTTCACTGCCAGGAATTGTGCAGTAATTAAGTATAGTTTTTTGATGTTGACATTTGTTTACAATAAGTAGAATTGACCTTCTTAATTTATTTCACCATTACCCATGGAACTGTAATTCAGATAGAAAGAGATGACCTACAGATGAAAAACACCTGAGACCTCTCTAATTACTCTTCTAAACTATATTCTTAAAAAAAATTCTCAGTTGAATAAGTCTCCTAAACAGAATTTCCTCTGTTAAGTTTTCCCTGTTAACTTAGTATAATTGGTCTTCCTGAATAGAAAAGCATACTTTCTGTATGTAGCCTAATGTGAATATTTTTGCTGTCTATATCCTTACAAATTAAATACAGCACTCTCTATAGGTATTGTAAATTCTAAAGTGGGACTAAGTGTTTTCATGTAAAGAATTAGTTTATGTCTTCCCTCTCTGTGGATTTACTATCCTCAGGATAAATTGGACTAATTTTGATTATCCCAGTCATTGAAATATTATGATCTGTTCCCAGGAATATATAGCATTTCATTTTTAAAATAAACTGCAATTAACATGACAAAGGTGAGTGTTAACATTTCTAGAAACGTGATATAAAGTGTTTATTTCCAAGTCACATTAAAACTTTATCCCACTTTCTCTTTTGCACCAAATGACCTCAGTACATTGCCAAAAAAGTGGAATTTAGATTCCTCACAGTGTTCTCAGAACACAGTACATGGTCAGCTAAATTTCTATCATGTCATGGTGAAATTGCTCAGTAAAATATATAATTAACCTTCTACTTATTAAGAAACAATAATTCAAATAATCTGTCCGGTTTACAAATTTTAATTTAACAACACTCTAGGAATTTTCTTAGTATAAACTACTGATTAAAATGTGTACATGGCTTTATATCATCATATTTCAGAATGGTTTACTTTCCTTACATTTAGACAACTTAAAACTTAACAGAAACTACATGTTGGAATAAATAAGTAACATGCTATTGTGTCAAACATGAAAAATGGAAAAGTCTTTATTGTGAATTCTTTATTCATAATAGCCATCAGCTTATTGAATTGTTTAATTTGCCTCATTGTGATTTTATGAATTTAAGATGTTTTCTTACTATATGTGTTAAATTGTTACCTATATTGTCTTCCTGGAAAAATAGGATTATTTGTAAGGTTTTTATAAATGTACAATGTATGTATAAATATAAATTGGAATCTGGGGTGACTCAGTAATCTTAATTCCACCATGGCCACCAGCTACCTGACACATTTTGTGAATTTTGCATCTGTGTGCGTGTGCGGGTGTACTACATGTCCATTACCGCATTTATTCTCAGATGGAACTATCACTTCATGTTTTGCACAAGTATTTGAGCTATTCATGTAATGGGAAAAGTTGCTGTAAATATGTACATAAATGTCCCTTAATTTGGCATATGTTTTCACATTTAATTTTAAAATACAACTTTTCATTTAGTTTCTACCCTTCTTTTCA